CTATTCCGTTGGAGCACCTGCTCTGCGTTCTCCATGCTATTTTTGCACGGTCGCCCGCAGACTACTTGCTTGCGGTGTGAACCAGCCTCAGGAGGGCAGTCATCGACGGTCAAGGGGAGAGTGAACTATCCTGTTCATGGCCTTGCTTTTGATGTTGTGTGGTTGTCTTGGGCTGGCCACCCCTCTGTTACATCGCCTTCCATCCTCCATCAACCAACTCTACGTCTTGCGTTGAACCGATATCTGCCTTCACCATCGATGCACCTCTCCATCCTCGCAAGTCCAACTTGCTGGTCCCCATCCATCGCTTTACCGACGACGACCAGACACACCTCCCCACGCTGAGACCTTGCTGAGGCCATCCATCCTCACACAACCATCAGAACGTGCTGCACAAAGTCACGAAGACCAGGCAGCACACCCAAATTGTCCAGTCCCACGGTTACTCTACCCATGTGTACGCACAGTGTACAGTACGCACACATGGCCTCAGACACGGTACCCTTGACACCTCCTCACCCGGTCTTTGTCGCTGACTGAGGTTTGTTGAGCACAGGGAACATTTCCTACCAAACCCAGCAGCGGATCGGCACGGGCAAGTATACTCAGTAGCTACAGTAGCTAGCTAAGTACGGTCCGAGCCGAGCCAAGAAGACCAGCGAGCCGGGTGGAATGTGGGTATTTTCCTTGAGGGGCACTCACGCCGACCGGGGCAATCCACATTTGATGGTCGCGAAGTCGAGTTCGTTTCCCTTTCCCTTTCGCCACTTTTCACTCGCTTTTTGTACATGACAATACTCTAAATGCCTTCGATGGTCTTTCAGGCTTGCCACGGCTATCGGACTCCTGCCATTACTTTCGGTCATTCCTTTGATCCTACACAGCACGCCGCCATCAAGCTTCATCAGCTGAACCGGCGGCCCCTTTCCCCTGTGATCCCTTCTGCGAGAACCAGGACTCTCTAGAAGAGACCACATCAAACCCGATCACGTCAGCATCCTTTTCCATGACCCAACCCGTACAAACTCCGCCCGTCGATTAGGTGTGGACCGCTGTGCCATGCCCTCCGAACTCACCCGGCTGTGCTGTGCAGCTAGCCTTGCGTATTGGAGGGACGGGCATTGCGAAATCTGACTGCTGTCCATGTTAGTTGCAATGCTCACCACAGACGCGACTAGGGTGACGTTCTCTACTTAAGGTGCAGTGCTGAGGCACCGTAGCTGCTTGGGTACTGTACATTAACCATCTCGGGCCCTAGATAGGTAACTACGACGGTACTCAGGGCTACCTTACCTGTTCTCCCTCCATCTCGCTGAAATCCATCCCTTGTTCAAAGCGACCGAATCGAGCGGCTGAGTGGAATAGCCAGAGCCAGAGCCACGCTGCATCGCACGGTTTTCCTCGGGCCCGGAACGTGGCAAGCCCGCTGCCCAAGCTTGCGTCGTCGTTGTCAACAAGGACCTCTCTTCGTCTCCACGCGGTCAATCCACGAAATACCAACAATCCATCACCTCCTACCGCCTACCGTCGAACTACATTCTTCAAAGGCCACTCATCCGACCGGCCTCAGCCCAACCCTACAACCTCCTCCGAGAAAGTGCAGGGTCACACTCACTGGAACGGGCTCTCCGACCGACACTTTTTTCCTTCTTTGTAACCTACGTAGGTCAGTCGTTCAACAACGAACATTATTGAGGCCCCTTTCATGGCAGATCCCTTGCACGAGAAGATATTTCCTCTCTCTGTTTTCTTTTCTTTTTTTTTTTTTTTTTTTGTACTTCCACCACCACCACCACCAGCCGCCTTATCCTTGCAATCCGTCATCCTCTCAGTGTACAGTAACTTACGCCCTCCGCAGTATAGCAGCCACAGCCTCCCCGGAATCGAAACCAAGCCCCGCGATCAAGAAATCCATCCTCAGCCCTTGCTCGCGAAATGATAAGAGCAGTTACGATCTCGGCGGAAGGATGAACCCCCGCTTGTTTTGCCTCAACCCAGCAAGCCTGAAAGAGCCCTCAAGCAAGGCGCCAGCAACAAATTCTGCCTAGTCGGTCGGAAGAAACCCTACCCCCTCCCCCTCCCCCAACCTTTCGCCGCGACGCAAGAAGACGGTAAGAATGCATGTATACCGCTCGGGGGGGATAGCCTGACATCGACGCGTGAGGTCGCTCCCCCGACCGGACTGTGCCGACCGCACTATGGATGACTCTACACCCTTCTCGAGAAAGGTTGTGTGCGCCTTATCCACTATCCGTCTCATCGGAGACAGCCTTCTCTGTTTGCTTTTTTTTCTTTCTTTCTTTCTTTCTTTCTTTCTTTTCTTTCTTTCGTTTTATATATCTTTTGGACGATCGGTCTCACTTGGACTCTATGTCGGTGAATCCCTACAGGGTGTGCTGATGACATTCGACGCTCACGCCGACTGCTTTTCGTGGGAACCTTACCTCACAAGGGAGGGACGACGTAGTTAACGGGTGGACTTTTACTAACAATGGACCTAGGATCTCCCAACAGGGGCTGAGCTGTACTGCAAACGCATTTCCTGGGCGCCGATTCGAGATAATGTTCTGTTCAGCGACAAGCTGTCGATACATCGTCTGTAGATGATGCCACGGTCGCTGGTGTCCGGGACGCTTTGTCCGAGACTCCTTTCATCCGGCCCCAATTTCTTGTCAATCCATTCGCTTGGGGCGATACGTCGATGGTCGATGGTCGATGGTCGATGGTGCTTACAAACAATGGAAGCATTTGAAACTTGGAATTCATGGGTCTGTCTTGTCCGGAGGGGGGGGGGGGGGCTGAAAATGGTGCCCAGTGGATGTCAGGCTCGCTTGGAGGAACTTAGTTACCTGGGACTGTTGATGAGAGCGTTGCACCGCTTGACCCTATTTGAAAGAATGTCAAGACAACAAACTAGCCGATGGTTCTCTCTACAGGATCCCAAATCTCCCAAACCCTGTCAACTGAACTGAACTGTACTGTACCTAGTGGTAACGTTACGACGTAAGCACTGTGGCGTGGCGGTGAGCTGCCCTCAACCAATCCGAGGAGGCCGGAGACTGCAACAGGATTTTGCCACCTCGAGTGAGGGCTAGAGTACATACCTTTCTTAGGTAGCTAGTAAGACAATGTATGGACCACCCACATACAAATTGGCAGGAATCCGAGGATCCTTTGGAGCAGAAAATCAGTCAGATCAGCGCCTTGACACTCTTTTGGCCGAGCGGTCTACGCTCATCACAAATTAATAGCTGTGTGGGGGATCTTTGCTTGAGCACACAGAAGAATTGGAGATTAGGAGAAGATGGAGGTGATGGAATTCCTACTTATGCCCTAGAGCATCCTCGCCGAGCCCGAGTCCCTCACCCCATCAGTCCCTCGTCGTCAGTCGGTCCACCAGACGACGAAAGCTATCGTGGTGGTGGCTGTCGTTGTCGTTGTCGTGATTGTCTTCCGGCAACGCGGCAACGGAGGGATGCTTGACGAGGGCCTTGGCCACCGACCAGTACTCAACCGCATGGATGATGAACCCGGCCCGTTCCGCGCTGGGTGAATCCGACGCGCCGCGGCACAGGTCATCCCAGTGGGCCTTCCATCGGTCCAGGCCCCGGTCGACCGCATCGAAGAGCCCCGGTTCGTCCGTGAGGGCGTGCAGGGCCAGCAGATCGAACAGGACGCATTGGAGTGCTGCCGCCGTTTGGAGTTAGTCAATCACGCGAGAGCGAAGCTGACGGGACCGGGCTGATCCCACTTACCCGACAGAACGAGAAACGATCCAAAGACCGTGCTAGGGAGGTAGGCTTCACGGTGCGGCGCGCGACCTTCGGCCCGCATCAGGTCGCGCAGGACGGATCGGACCCGGAGGGGCGCACGTGACGGCGCGCTGGGGACGCCGCCGGCGAGCTGCTCAAATTCGGGAGTATCGCGGGCGTTGAACAGGTCGTCCCGCTCAGGGATCGCGAAGAGTACCTCCTCGATCCGGAGCTGGGTTGGGTAGCGGAAGAAGATGACGCAGTAGCAGTCTAGGAGATAGATGCCGGCCATGACGCTGATGCAGCTTGGTCAGTTTGTTATGCACTACGTATAGGGGCAGATGTCACGAACCGGACAAGCCCCTCTCGGAGCAGGTATGCGTCCCTGCCAGAGACGTTGGGAATACAGTCGTTCGTGATCTGGTTCAGGTTCAGCATGCGGATGGCGGTGAAGAGCGCCGGTAGGCGTTGCAGGCGGACTCGTCGGATGCTGTCCGGGTTCTGCTTGTACGCCTGCAGCGTCACTACGAGCATCGTGGCTTGGAGGGTTTCCAGAGTGCTGCGGTCGTTCAGGGCGTTGATGCCTGGATTTGTTATGTGCTGGAAAGACGGGCCGGTGAATATCAGGTGCTCGGTCACGCTTGAGTACGTTTCTAGATCACTGCCATTGTAGGGGGAGGTGTACACCGCTCCGAGGAGCACCATGGTTAGGATAAGAAGCGTCGATGCTTCGCCCAATCGGAAGGTTGCGGGGTTGATGAAATGATTGTGGAAGGCGTTGTCGAAAAAGGCTTCAAGGAATTGGGCGATGTTCAGCGGTGTGAATAGCTGCTTCGCTCTGTCTAAATCCACCAATTGCTCTGGTGGAGAACACTGACCATTTTGCAACAGAGATAGTATCTCGGACGACGTGTGTTCGAGCTCTCCCAGGTCAAACCGGTCCCCGGGAGCAGGGTGTAGGCTGCAGGAGGGATCCAAAGTAGCAGTGTTGATGAATGATTTGAAAAGGCTTTCCCAGGATTCCGTGATGATGTGAGGGTGGTGGGATTGATGGTTCACGGCACAGCATGCGGATCTCGAGTCTGCGGGGTTGCACTGAGACAGTAGTCGGAGACTCTCGTATCGTGATTCGTTCTCGACATCAGTGTAGTGCAAGAGGAAGGGTATGGACAGTTTGACAGACTGAGAGATGGAAGCCGCTGGACTTGATGCAGCGAGGCTCGCAGGTGATTGCTGGCCTGGAGGCTCGTTGGGAGAGATGGATGTTCGGGAAAGGCTATGCGGACGAGTGAATGAGCATTCCAGGCCCCTTTGCAGGCAGGCCTCGCACGGGCAGTCCCCATCGCAGAATGATCGAGCTGTGGCGCAGGAATTGCAAGCCTTTCGCTTTCTTCCTGGCTTGCCGGGATCAGCGGGTTTCTGGTCGCCAACATTGTGCTTGCATGTTCCGAGATGGCGACGTAGAACGTCCCTGGGTGTAGAGTAAGGTTAGACGAATCGACCCCAGTGGATCTAGGGTTCTGAATACCTTCTCCGATAGGCACCACCACAATGGTTGCAAATGAGCTTGGTCACCGGCGCATCTAGCTAGGGTTCAGATTTGGCCGAGGACTAATGCAAGGGTGGGGTGGCTTACGGCTCGCCTCATGTCGCCGGAGGTGGCTCTTAGTGGTGAATACTTTGTGACATATACTACAGGCCACTGTAGTCTGTGGATCGCATATCGAAATCGTTTGAGACTTGTGATCGACTGGAACCCGGGATTTCTTCAAGGGCATAGTAGCAGCAGCAGGAGCAGTAAGTGCATGAGGGGGAAAAAAAGAAAAGAGCGGAAAGAGGAAGACGAAGACAGACTCAAAAAGCCCAAGTGGGGGCCGGCGGGAAGACCTTACTACTTGCGGAATTCTAGTCGGGAAATCCCACATGCTAGTCGGAAAACCCACATCAAATGGAAATGTACGGAGTATACGTATACTATGCCCACTGCAGTGCTTATCATCCCCTGCCACTTGACCGTTTGCTGAACACACCGGTAAGATTCGATTCAGCATATATTCATTTAGTGCAAGCAACTTCCCTCACAACTTTCGACATGCATCTGTCACGTTCGAGTCATCCACGGATTCTCAATCATGGTACTGTACGCCAGCATGGAGAACTTTAGGCCATTCCGCTGACCTCAATATACCCTCGTCTCTTATTCAGAAGTCGCATCTCTATGCTTTCGATCACGCGCGCAATCAACTTACACGATGCACTCCCCTCGCGCCCTCCCCTCAGTCAACACATTCCATCGCTCGATGCATACCGATAACAGCACCGCACCACCCTCCACCTCTCTCTCAACCGAGAAACGACCCATGAACCTAGCCGAGCACGTCCTGTACGCAACCACCCTTACCCCCCCCTTAGGATCTCCGGGCTGACCTCCGCAAGCACCACCTTCGACCAGATCGTCAACTGGGCGCGACAGGGCTCCCTCTGGCCGCTCAGCTTCGGGCTCGCCTGCTGCGCCCTCGAGATGATGCACGTGTCGATGCCGCGCTACGATCAGGACCGGCTGGGGATCATTTTCCGGGCGTCGCCGCGCCAGGCGGACGTGATGATCGTGGCGGGCACGGTCACCAACAAGATGGCGCCCGCGCTGCGGCAGTGCTACGACCAGATGGCCGAGCCCCGCTGGGTGATCAGCATGGGCAGCTGCGCCAACGGCGGCGGCTACTACCACTACAGCTACAGCGTCGTGCGCGGGGTCGACCGCCTCGTCCCGGTGGACGTGTACATCCCCGGCTGCCCGCCGACGGCCGAGGCCACCCTCTACGGGGTGTTTCAGCTGCAGAAGAAAATGCGGCGCACGAAGGTTACGCGGATGTGGTATCGGCGGTGAGGGTTGTTGGCTGTGGGATGGAATTACTTTTCTTTCCGCGGTGTTGTTTGTTTGGTATCTTCGTTTCACTGGGGTGTCGATGTTGAGTAGTTGTAAGAGGCACATAGATGGGCAAGTGAATTGGATTTGCGTTGTGCAAGGTCGAACTGTTTCTGGTGCGTGACAGACCAGGTTATCCGAAGTTACCCAATCGCAGAAGGTTACTTGCACCACCCGCCGAGGAGACATTCCTAACAGGTGACTTGGGATTGAGAAGCAATGTAAGAACCCGTAGGATTGACACAAGTTGACTGACAATGTGGCAACATAGGAGTTGGAACAAGTGAGCCAAACGGGAAAACTCGGAGATCATGCACCACCGTCAGTAACGATTACCTTGAAAACCAGCCCTAACCTCCGTCCACCCCCTCCCCCGCTCTCCCAGCACAACCCACATCCCACCATGCACCCTCTACCCCGGACTATAAATATCCTCATTCTCAATCACGAGCCGACGATCCAACCTCTTCAACGCAGGCAACCTCTCCGCAAACCGCCCCAACGCCCCGGGAAACACCCTCGCACGGTCCAGAAACGCCACCGTCTCAACATTCGGGAAGATTGTCTAGAGATCCAAAAGGCACCTCGTCAGCTCATCCGCCATCGTCGTTGTCATCCCCACAGGTGAAGACAAGAAACCCACCGGAATCTCCTCCAACAACGCCTCCCACTCCGCATGCCGCACGCAGTACGTATCCGGCCACGACTCGAACCGCGGATCGATCTCCAGCACCCGGACCCGGTCACCCCGCACCGGCGGCACGTACGACAACGCACCCCCTCCCGCCCCGGGACACACCAAGGTGACAGACTCTAGCCGGGGAAACTCGACCTCGCGCAGTGCCGCGCCGTATCCCTGCGCGACCGGCTCGCCGACGGTGACGAGGCGGGCGCGCGTCACCATCGCGGCGTACATCTGTCGGCGCGCGGGGTCGGCGCTCCGCGCCAGGCGGTCGAGGAGCTCGTTGCTGCTGTGCGAGCATCCGAGGTCGTCGCGCCAGAGCACGGGCAGGGTCGCGGCCGACCAGGGGCGGTTGACGAGGGCGCAGCGGTACAGGGCGCCTGCGCGGGTGTAGTGGTATGTGGATTCGTGCTCGTCGGCGTCCTCGGCCCAGGTGGTGTCGGAGACTGAGCCTTCGTCGTCGACGTCGATGCTTGGGTCGTTGGAGGGGTCGTCGCCGTCGTCGGTGGATAGGGTAGGGGTGGGGGTGGATTCTGGTGGGAGGGGTGCGCGCGTGGCGGGCCAGGTGTTGAGCGTGTCGGCGTGGGTCCAGACGATTATCTCAGTGAGGATCTCGGGGAGGCTGAGGGCGCGCTGGGTGGCTGGTGTCTGTGCGGGTGGATCCATGGTTGATGTATGGATTTGGAGGCGCGACGGACACAGGTGGCGGCGGGGTGTATCCTTTTCAGTGGTGTTGCGATGTGTGTGTATCTATATCCTGCACAATGGCACGTGGGCTCGGATGAGGCTGACGCTAACCGGCGAGTGAGTCACACAATATATTGAGCTTGGACCCACTATAGGACGGGCGTGTATAGGGCTGATGTTGTGCCGGTGTCACAGGGAGGGTGCATGGGTTACAGCGGCTGCATTACGGAGCACTGCATCGCGCCCGGCGAGACGGGTGTACTCATGCACCACACCACAGATCGCTCTCTCCGATTGTGGTGCGGCGTATGTGAGTAGCCGACGGGAATCATGCTAGGAGCCGCAATGACGTCGAAGCACTCGGATCTCCAGACTTTGGAGATCTTCAACAAGAAAGAGATCCCCAGGGATCCACTTATATTGTCACTTAGGTCTATCGCGCCCTAGGCAAGGATAACTCGGGAAGAGAGTGGAACAAAAGAGGAATTTCAATTATTACAAGAACAGAAGGCTATCGGTACAAAGAAATTGTCGATGTCCGAAAGTCCAGCGTGGTGTCTGGACCAGGATCTATTTCAGGCACCGGGCGCTCCGCGCCGGGGCTCCGATGTCGTATCTGAGCGAGGCGCTATCGCGCTTGAGCGGGATAGGCTCCTGAGCACAGCTCGGCTCGCTATAGTGGAGCTCAAGGCGTCAGTATCCAGTCAAAGCAAAGAGAAATCGCCCAGTCTGGACGTCAGTTGAACCCGTACCGATACAGTTGGCATGTCATGCCAGGAATCAGCTCCACAGAATTGATGACACCCGCGGGTCTATACATCATCGCGTTAGCACAACCTCTATAGTAACTAAGACAGCCGGCTCCTACGTCGTAATGCAAGATCCATCCCCATTGCTGTGGACGTAAGGCCCGAGGAAGTGGTCCTGGGCGAAGAGCCCGGCCTGCGTGGATGTTAGTCTCGTCATTGCAATCCTCCAGTTGTAAACCACTAACCTGGGTCGAGGAGTAGGCCAAGGCGGGAACAATGGCAACCAAGGCGCTGGACAGGAAGAGGGCGAACTTCATTTTGGCGGTGTTGGTGGAGGTTGGTGTTGATCTTTTTGTTGTCGGGGTTGTGGAGGCGGTTGTCGACGTCGATGCGAATGATGATCTTTCATTTGCCACATGCAATCGGCGTGGATTTATAGTAAGTAGGCTAGGAGTGGTTTCGACGCGAAGCCTGGCGGTTTGTTTGTGGTTTGTCGACCGTAAATGGAAGTATGCAAATCGCAATTTGGCCTTCATACTTTGTGTCACATAAAGCCCAGGCCCAGGGGGGCTTTTGGGCCACACACGGCTCCAGGGAGAACAAGAAACCGTGCGGAAATAGACCCCCCGTCCAACCAAGCCGATCTTCCGCGGTCTCAGTATGGTATGCAGCGTTCCGATCGGGGCTGCCGATCCCTTGCTCCTGACCTATGAAGGGCGGCGCAGGTGGAGGGATTCTCCGCAACACAGTGCGATATTCGAGCGTACATGTGTGAAAAGATGATTGTTGTTGCATTTCCAAGAGTAAACAAATTTTCCCTGTTAGGAAGTAATCATACGAGACCACTCAGTATTGTTGGCGGAGATAATTGGGCGTCTTTCTGTCGCCGTCCAAGGATGTTCCGGACCAGAACGAGAGTGAAGATTGAAGGGGGCCGAAGGGTGGAGTGGTCAAGTAAGCACTTGATAATTCATCTGAAACCAGGGCGGCGAGGATATGCTTGCAAAGGAGAACAGCTGATGGATCTCAATTAAGAACTCTACATTCGGAGACAAGACATCTACGCACCCCCACTCCCTTGGCATCCAATACAGGTCTTGAATTTGGCCAGGGAAGGGGAGGATTTGCCCCAGGAGCACGCCCAAGAACGCGGTACCCGATGCAAATCTGGTGGGACTTTTCACCACCTAGTCTGCGTATCATACTGTTCTTGACACAACAAGGCTTCCTTACTGCCTGCTCGCCAGCAAAGGCTCGGTTTCCTCTGCGGTAGCCTCCAAAGCGCCGACGACAGCACGTCTCCGCGCCACCAGCAAGAACAAGAGCCCCTGTCCGACCGCGAAAATCAGACTGTCCACCGCCGGCCACCCCACCCACAGGAACCAGGCATATACCAACGGCCAAGACAGCGGATAGTCTTCTGGGAACGGTCGACTGGTGACCCGAAAAGGCCAGGTCCCCGCGAGCAGCAGAAACACAACCGCCTGAGCACCCAGCCCCCGCACACTGATGCCACTTTGGTGCTGTGGCCCTGGGCGAAGCAGGGTGACGACCTGACACAGAAACGCTCCCAGACTGAGCCACGGCACCGCCGGGTTGACATACAAAAGATGGCAGCCGCTGAAGATCGCGTGTGTTAAATCCGCCTCCGGGTCTTGGTAGAGCAACACGATGAGTAACGCCCCTGGTGCGAGGGAGATGGCGAGGAAGATGCCGTAGAGAGTTGACGCGTAGATCTTTCGTCGGCGGGATAGTCCAGGGGATGGATACCAGAGACACATGCCAAATCTTGAGGGTTAGTTCTGGTGTGTAAATGTCGTGAGTGGCCATTGAGCCTTGAGGGAAATTCAACTGGTCGCACTACTTACTGAAGAACGAAAAGCACCCAGACAGTGGCGAGTTGGCAGAAATTCAGCCAGTCGCCCCCGGACTTGGGGTTGTCGATGAAGAAGTCTGCGCCATGGGGGAGGCTGACGTAGATCAGACCGACGAGGAACTGTTCCGTAGCGTAGATGGTGTTGAGGACGACGGAGAAGAGCGACAGGCCTGAGGTGTCCTTCTTGGATCGGGTGAGTTGGAGTTGGGGGAGAAATGAGTAGACGGTCAGGCCGAGGCCGATGCTAATGAAGACAGTCTGTTTAGTATGGACGATGTGTCAACGCGGATTGGACATACATGCGAAACACGTTAGGCAGCATTGGGGCTGTCGCTTTTGTCACCGGGCATAACAACCGTGGACGAACTTTGGGTGAATTTTCAAGCACATGGATCGAAGCTCCCAGCTTAAGGGGTATGATAATGTATTTAAGATTAATCTTCCGACTGGTAGTCCAATCTAATTCAAATTGGTCACTGTGCTAGTCAAGCTAGTCAAGCTAGTCAATGCATCGTTACAAAGTGGCTACTTGTACTCTCTCGCTGCTGTAGATTAATCGTCATATTGTACTATGCTTTGCGGCATCTAGCAGTGGTATTTCACTCTGTGATACCCAGCAGTGATGCTCAGAGAATCACTATCAGCAGGGTCTTGCAGAGGGGACGCAATGGAATTAATAGTACACAATGAAAACAAAACAAGCCGATTCATGCCCAGCTTCTCGCTTCTGGGTTATCGAGGTGCTCTCTCAACGTCATTGGCCTATTTAAATTGCAGTCAGATTTTAGTGAGATTACGGGGACCACCTCCAGGGTTGCACGATGCATGGCCGTCTCCAGGCTAGGTTATAGTCAAAAGGGTCCTAAGCGGGAAACCGGGTAGAAGCGGCCGGTGAGTTATGACTCGCTTGAACTGTGATCGCACTCCACTACTGACAAGGTCTTGAAGGCATGGACGATGAAGGACACCTTTGACACCTTGAAATATAATCTTGATGTGATTTTGCAGCAACACGGAGCGTAATGTCTACACTGGGCGGTGTATCCTTGACAACATGAATCCCCGGCAGAAGTCCCAGCCAGACCGAAAGCGTTCTTGGTGCTGGAGAAACGAGAAAAGTTCTTGCCGGCTGCCGGCCTTTTTCTGCCTCTGCCTTCCGCTCCGGGCGGACAAACGTTGCATATGTGATCTATTTTTAGCCAATATGCTATCCACGGGGCTTCGTAATCATACACACAATCAACTAGTCAAGTTGATCTGGTTAGTCAATTGGGGATGCCAGAACTGTGATAGTATCATCGCTGTAGTCAGTCTTGAATGGTCACTCGAATCAAGCTTGAATAACAGGGACTGTTCAGTCCATTTCGTGTCCACCCATCTGAGCGACCACGCTATCCCTGACCTGGGCTCGTCCTTCGTGGATTCGACCAGCCATTGTGCCACGATATAGAAGTGGATCGATCACTATAGCCCGTCCGACTCATTTTCTGGGCTAGAGTGACGTGACTATCCTTGCATACAAATCTCTTAGTCATTACCCCACAACTTACTCCCTTCGCGTACTATATATATCTCCCGTCACGCGGCGCTCGATCATCGCACGTACTCAACAACACATCGCACTGGGAATAGAACCACCGTCCCACAGTGGCGACTCCAGCACGTCAGCTATCCCCGTGCCGGACGTTATGTCACTGTGTACTATAAAAATCCCATCACAGCCACCACGAACCACTCGCACCCTCCCTCCCCACCGGATCGTCAAAGACCCGACCCTGCAGATCCGGCAATCTGTTTCAGCTGGAATGACACCATCCGAAGTGATCAGCGGCGTCTACCCCACACCCACACCTACACATCATGTCTGTTGATCATGGATCAGAGCAGGGGTACGGGTACGTAACCCCTAGTTGATCGTGCTCAATAGTCCTCCTGAATACTCGTACTCCGTCCAGTAGCGATACACGCGATTCTCGAGGCTAGTACGCTGTAGCTCCATCACCTATCAGTGCCTCCACCCATAGTCCACACCCATAAACCAAAGAACTAAGAATAGCACTTCCCTAGTAGGAGTACTCGTAGACAACCGCCGTGACTCAATCGCAGCAACAGACCTACCTAATCCGCCGGAAAACCACGCGAGGTTCGCCCGCCCCGGGAATCCCTTCCCCGTGGCCCCACTCCAGAGCCCGGAAGAACGAGACCCCGATGGGGAAGGGGAAGGAGGGGATTTACCCGCGGCGATCCGGTCTCGCCAATTTGCCGGGCTGGCTGGACTGACTCCGCCCCGTGTCCGACCGATCGACCCGGTAGCGGGTGCCATTCCCCCTTTTTGTGGGAGGTGTTGTTTCGGGGGAAGCTATTTCTGGCGAGGACGGATTTCGCATGTTCTAGAAGGTCTCTGGCTTCGTACTCGTACCGCTGCCGCGCGAGGGTTGCGTTAGTGTGGGATCTAAGTGTGATTGATGATTGAGCTTGGGATTCCAGGGATTTGGGGACTAGAAGGAGAAAAATGATGTTGTGTTTGGAAAGTGTATTCATCATTATTGGTTCGTCCCTTGCACGGCAAGGGGAAGGTCTGATCTATGCAGTGGTCTATAGGACGTGGACGCTCTAGGTGGTATATTCTAATAACAGGAGTGAACGCTAGACAGGATGGGTGACGCCGAGATAGTGGGACAAAGGAGACAAGGAAATAGTAGGAAACATTTTTAGGCCGTGATCTTGAAGCTCTGCTTCGTCATGGTGGAGGATGAGGATGATCATGATGATGAGGTGGAGGACGTCTGTCCGAGACGATGAGGATACTCAAAGCTCTCAATCGGATGAAAGCGCGTCAGTAGCGGATGTACTGGCGGGAGGTATGAGTGATCCTGTGGAGAAGTCGGTCTGGATTGGAGCAGACGAGTTGCCGATGGAGTCGGCGGTGGAGAGACACCGGACACGGCGTGGTTCCCTGAGTCTGGTGAGGACCCTGATGGGTGGTTGTTTTGATAGAGTGGATCGAGGACGGTGAGACGTGGTCGAGACTGAGTGAAGAATAGGTCGAGTTTAACAGGCGACAACAGGCACTCCAGATTGAGACCAGTGCACACTGCCACTCCGGCGGGAGAAGATCTTCTCCATGCACCGGCGGCCTTTGTCGAGGAGGCTCTTTCTCTCCGTAGGTTCCGGGGCCCATTTGATGGACGGGGTCTTCACGACAGTCGACTTGACAGCCGCCGACTTCACCGGGGCAGGAGCCGCGGACGAGGGCTTGGAGCCGCGGCGGGAGCGCCGGGGTGGGACGGGCAGGTCGTTGTCGAGGTCATCGTCGCTGTCGCTGCCCATGGAGCGGATGTGGACCTGGATGTCCCGCTTGACGAGCTCCATGGACTTCTCATGGACGCGGGCGTGGCCGAGGCACCGGCGCAGATCGGGCTGCTTGGCGCTGCTTTCGTGTTCATACTTCTCGCCGGAAACGAGGCAGAGGTGGAGGTGGAGCGAGGATTTGGTCGCGAAGGGGGAGCGACGCTGAGGGCGCACGGGTGGAGGAGGGTTCGGTTTGGTGAAGAGGAAGGAAGAGGTGTAGGACATTGTAGGTTGGGTTGGGTGGGTGTTTGGTGGACGAGACTCGAGATAGTGGTGTGTAGTGTATGTACGCAGGCACTACTCCGTCACCCAAAGGGCGGGGAGAGTCAAGGTGAATTGGTGTTGGTTTGGAAGGGGAAAGGAAACGTAGAGCTGCTTGCTTGGTTGACAGGCTTTCCTTCCCTGGATTGCCGGACCTTGACAGTCTATATAGGGTCCCAGGGGCAGGAAAGCCAGCTTGCGATAAGAAAGGCCGAGCAGGTCATGGGGTGAGCAAAAGTCTGCGTGCCAGGGCTCTAGAACTTCCCCGGTGGATCAGTGGGTGGATCCGCCCATCAGTGGCCGACTGTTCCAGCCCTGCCATCAGGCCGACAAACCCAAACCCCTCGACCGCCACTGCCCAATTGCACAAAATTGCTCAGGAACCACTCGGTGACAATGGATCATGAAACGTTGATGATAATGCACGGGCAGGGCCACGGCCAATCAGCGAGTGGTTTCACCACCATGCGATACAGGCACACAGGCACACAGGCCGGCACCGGGGGTGGTGATGGCAACAACTTCACCAGCCAGCCAGTCAATAAGGTTTCCTACACTCGAAGAGGGAAAGATGTCCGTGCACGGGCACGTGGGTCAGATAAGCGATTCATAATGCATTTGGTGTTCATTTTTTATTTTTGGGGCCGGGTGGAGCCCGCTGGATGTGTGGCTTTGAAACCTGGAAGTCTCGAGCATCGACGCGACAGCTCGATCACCTTCCCAACTCACCAGGTGTACGAGTCTTTGGCCCAGAGTCACCGACTCCACCATAGTAGTGCTGACGTTCCCTTTTGCTGGTGCCCCTCCTCTCCTTCCCCTCTCCCTCCCCCTCCATTAGATGGTGTCATCAGCGTGGCAATTTTGAGCGGCCGGATTGACACCGAGTCACTGAGTCACCGCTCATTGACGCGATCCGGGTGCGTGATTTCTTCGAATTGCGTCCGGTGCCTGGACCAAGGACTATTCCATGAGGGTCTTAGACTAAGGGATGGCGTCAGAGAGCCGACCCCATCCCACAATCCTCAATCAATAGTCCAGTGTCTGTGTGACTGAGGGTGATGCATTATCAACTTCGGGATGGGGGAGGTGTCAATCCTCGGACCGGCCAACGGAATCGGGCCCCCGATAAAGAAACCGGTTTAGCGTGTCTGGTTGCAGCTCGCAAGCTATCTCCCTACCTGCAAGCATGGGAGTTTCCGATCAGCAGATCGACACTCGCTCAACCGGACTTCCCTGCTGGAGGTGATCTGGTTTCTGCAATCTGCAGCCTGCAGGTATGCAGCCCTCGGTTGGTGGCTTATAACTCGGTGAACCTCCCTCCTCTCCCTCCCCCCTCCTACTGTGTGTGATCTATACTATCTGTTTGTCTGCATGAACACCTTCACCTGCATTTGATTCACATTTTTCTTATTCTGGCGCCAACTCCGGTCGCAACGGCCAAAAACCACATTTTCATCCGCTTACCGTCGGCGTGGCACGGGTTATGTAATCACCGCGCACAACGCTGGTTTGGTTAACTTTTGTTTATGTTTTCCTACCCTATGCGCCATCCTACCCAGCGCATCGCTTCACCTTTGACTGATGGTTCCATGATGGCGACACAACCTGCTCCTTTGGGCGAAAAACAAACCCACGCACGCAGTGGAGGAAAACTTATGACTCGGGTGGGTAGGTGGTGGCTTGCCATTGCCCCTCCTCCCTTCCTCCCCGAAGGTCAATGCATTGCGTCTAGTGTTTGACTGCGTGATTTTTCTTCTTCTTTGGTCTGCCAAACTCTATCACCGGGGAACAAGCAAGTCTTTTGAAGTTAGTTATACTCCGTCCTCCGTAGGGAGTCGAGGGACACTATCGACAATCGGCACGCCACAATCCGGACGTTTTCTCTGGTTCAACCCAAACCTAGCTGGTCAGCTCGTGTGAGTCGATGGCGATCTAGAACGAGTCGATGGTTCTGGATGTTGGTTGTGCGCGATGCGACGGCGGCTAGTGCAGTGCAGTCTTCACAGTAGAATAGTGAAGTCTAGTCTACTACGTAATCCGGCCTGTCTGACTGCGGCGCAGAGACGCACCTGAGGTCTGAGCTTAATTCCCCTGTCCCCCCCCTCCCTTCCCCTTTTTGAGTACATGCTCCTTTTCACTCCTGTATGCCCAATCACCGATAATGGGATGCCCACGCGGATGGCGTTGCCTAAATTGCGATTGCAGCGGGAGGGTCGGGAGTATCATGAATCAACGGTCGGGATTCCTTGCCTGGAAGTATTCTCCCTTCCCGATAGTGTAGCAGTGTCCATCCTGGGCTCGGTCGTTCAATTTCTTGATTCTTGTCTAGCTTGTGGTGTGGGGTGGAGTTCCGTCGGGTAGTTACTGGGTGCCAGGTGGTCTAGGTGATAACCCCCAGGGTCCATCCAGCTAGTTTTTACCACCTAGTCTACCACTCTGGCCGACGTAGTCCGAGTCGCGATAGCTCTGCGCGGTGCCATTGCATTATGCAATCGAAATTGCCCCTCCTCTCCCCTCCTTCATCCTTCAAATCTGTTCACTCGACTATCAGGTAAATCGATTGCAATCCTGCATGCATATAGATCCCCCAATCTGCCCCTCCCTCAAACCTTCCCAATCCACCGAGAACAAGAAAGCAAACACCGAAGAAAACTTCCTGCCGAAAAGGCAAGAATCCCGAGCTCCCGGGTTTGCTTTTCATTGTTTGCTTTTTATTTTTTATTTTTTTTCCCTTTCTTTTTGTGCTCGCCCTCGCCTGCCGGCTTGGCTGGCTGGTTCGGATGTTGGCAATTGATAAGCCACGGCCACTAGACCCGAACCGGAGATCCCGGATCTCGGAGATCAGCCGGCCACCCATGGATTGTGGGATTCTGGTTGATGGTATCTGTCACCGGCACACACAGAACAATATTTTCATTCGCTGGGTCTTATCGGCAAACAATGAAAATGAAGACGGGCTCGGTTTATTCCATCGCCCATAGGTTGTCGAACGTCCATGCGGCGGGATTGCCGAAGAAGAATTCGTCGAGGGAGAGGTCCTCTTGGCTGAAGGTTGGCTGTTTTTGTTTGTATTGGTGGTGGTTAGTTGAGGTGCTTGAGGTGCTCTTCGGTGTTCTTCAGGTCCTCACAGTGAGGGCTTGGGCGAAGGGTGTGTGAACTTACTTGGGATAAGTCCGGGTCGAGAAGAGACGCTCCCGCTCCGGTTAAGTCTGCGGGTAGATGGAGTTGGGTCGCGGTGGTGGTGGTGTCGGGCGGGTTCATCTGTACAACTGTTAACACCCTTAACATCCCACCCACCCAGCTGATTTGACTGCTGGGGTGAATGAAATGACGGCCATCACCCACCGGAACCAGCCGCATCGGAAACAGAAGCTCCTTCGCCTTGCGCAGATCCTCCTGGTGCGCCAGCACCCGATGGTACTGCCGCACCACCTCGTAGATCGCCTCCTCCTTCTGCACCGCCGGGTGCGCCGCGTTGGGAATCCGCGACCGCAGGAACGCCGCCGCCGCCGCGATGTACCAGTAGTGCGTGTATCCGGTGCCCAGGCGCGTGGTCTTCTCCTCGAGAAGGTGCAGGACCGCCTCGATGTAGTGGATCAGCGTGGTGCTGTTCGATTGGAGCAGGAGGTTATCTTTTCCCCCAAGCTTTATCAGTATGTCTGCCTTGACACTAAGGTGGAGGGTGGGTGTTGACGTACCGTGCACGCTGGCAGCGATGTACATGTTATGGCAGATCACCAGCGCGCTCTTGAAGTAGTCGTGGCGCAGCAGCAGTAGGATTTGGTTCCCCGCCTCCGTGAGCTGGCGGTGCTGGTCGATGAGCCGGAACGCAGCGTTGAAGCATACCATCCGCGAGAGCGAGTAGCGCGGGTTGGCGTCCGCCTGCCGCGCGAACGGCGCATGCAGCAGGATCAGGAAGTGTCGGAGCTGGATGTCCAGCAGCGCGCGGGCTAGGGTTGGGGTACGCCCTCGTGCTGACATCCCCGCGGTGCCGGCGTCGTCGTCGGGCCACGGGGGCAGTCTGTGCAGCGCGGCCGTGATCCGCTCCTCGCTGCGGAGCACCTCCTCGTACACGGACTGCGCGTGGATATCGTTGACGAGGGAGTTCAGGGCGGTGCGCAGCGGGAAACTCGACGCTGAGACCCGCAAGAACGAGCACGCCGTGTACACCTCCGCCGGCTGGGAGGGCGGGAGCGCGGCGGCGTCGACCGCCAGCGCCTCGTCGTCGATGTTCAGCGGCGGCGCGGTGTCCGCGGTCAGCGCCGCGCCCGCGGACGGCATGCCGCGGTCGGTCGAGATCTGCAGCTCCAGCTCGAGGATGGTCGCCCACAGCCGCCGGCGCATCTCCAGGTCAAAGACCGACACCCGGTCGCCCAGGATGGTCGGGTCGCGGTGAAAGCCGGCCGACATGGCCTCGCGCACCAGCGTGCCCGCCGCCGTCCACGTGCGCTTCTTCTTCACCACGTTCACCATCTTCGCCACCAGCAGGAGGCACCGGATCTGCCAGATCGCCAGATAGATGTGCTTCTGGCTCTGCCGCGGCAGCCACGCCTCCGCCGCCTCGATCCACAGCGTCGCGCGCTCGCGCGCCAGCGCGCTGTCGCCGATGTATTTGGGCTGTTGCTGCTGCTGGGCCGGCGGCGCCGCGAGGCAGCCCACGCACGCGAGCACCAGCATCAGCGTGACGACAAACGCCGGCCGCGCGGCGCGGCTGTCCTCGCGGAACGCCTCGTACTCCCGCATGAAGCTGGGGTAGTGTAGGATGCGGTAGAGGGTCTCGAAGGTGTCGAAGTAGAGCTGCACGTGGGCGTCCATGGTTTCCGGGTCCGGGAGTAGCCCGACGAGCTCCCATTCATGCTGCGGCAGCAGGTCCGTCCGCATGCCCTTCCACTTCACCTGCAGCGCCTTCAACTCCCGCTGCAGGCTGGGCAGGGAGGTGCGCTGCATGATGGTCTCCTTCATGAAGGATCGCAGCTCGGGAAACTATCCCCCACGAACATCAGCGAGGCGCCCTGCACAGTGACGAGGAAGAGAGTAACACTCACGTGAGAAATCAAACTGATCGGATTCGTACTCCCGTAGTAATGGGTCTTGAAATTCTCGCCCCGCAGAATCGTCGTCTGCACCCGCAGCCGCTCCCCGCCGGACCCCGGGGGCCCGATCCCATCATCATGGCCATCGGGGTTGTCGGCCGCGTTACTGCGGATCGACGGGCGCTCCTCATTGATCCCCGTCGCCGACGACGACGCCCCGAGTAGCTGCCAGCTGCCTGCGTTCTGCGGCGCTGCCAGCGATACCACCCTCGTTTCGGGGGCCGGTTGATCCGCTGTGCTGTGCTCCAGCCCTCCTCGGCCAAAATGGTCCTGCGGCGCCGGCGCTGGCGGGGGACTGTGCAGCGTGTACGCACTATTGTGTAGCAATGCGGACCGTTCCTCCCCCGGCAAGAAGGGAAATTCATTGTAGGAGCATGACTCGGCGATGCCGCCTTTCCGACACCGCCCGCAGGCCGGCAGCTCGCGGTCGCATTTGAGCTTGCGACGCCGGCAGTCGTAGCACGAGAGCGCCTTGCGTCTGCGTTTGGGCTTGTCCGAGCTCGGTGGCCGAGGGGATTTGGAGATCCGCGATGGGGGGTGGGATTGCATTTCCTGTTCATCGGGGGTAAGTTCGGGAGAATAAGAGAAGGAGCATGGCAGATTGCGTCGTAGCTCCGAGGCGGGCGTGCGGGGCTTATGAGGTCTCGGACGTTGCATTGCCTCGGGGTTTAGGGGGTTGGCTCGCTCGGAGTTGTCAGAGTGAGATACTTCAGTGGGGCCTTTGATTGGCGGAATCCTTTATCTGATTGATTGATATCGGGTGGGGGGCCGGAAGGCCAGGTTCCGATTGGGTCGCTGTCGGAGTCTTGGAAGGCTCAGCTCTTTCTAGTTCTTGCACAGCAGTCGCCTAGGCACCTATCTTTGAGATCGATGAAAGAGTCTTTCCGATAATGGGTCGGGGCTTGAAACGACGCTGAAGCACGTTCATACGAGAGTCTACATCAACGAGGATGGAAACAAGTCACACTTGAGCCTCGCAACATCCCGCTAGAAACTCATATTCAGGAAAAAGTCCAGGTCGATCGCGTCCGGCTGCGCAAAAGGATAGAACGAGACATCGTCCGGCGCAGTTGGGATGGTCGTGTCGTCCCCGACGCCGTGACCACCCTCGCCCAGCGAGCGCTCGAGGTGGTCGATGCCGTTGCGCTTCTTGTTTGCGGACGCGCGCACGAGCTGTCGGACGGTCGCCAGCGCCTCCGTAGCTAAATGCGTGTTGAGCCGGTCGGCAATACTCTGCAGAGTCTCCATCGCCCGCGGGATCACAGCCAGACTGTCCAGCGTGTCCAGCGCCAGCAGGACACAGACAAACTGGAACACAGTGCCCAAAACATTCCACCAGGGCTGGTCCATAAAGACCAGTCTTTGCGCCGGGGCGAGCGCGGCCGTCCCCGCGCTGATGATCTCCTCAATCCGCTGTGGGTGGAAGTGGAAGTTGATCAGGCGCAGCCGACGGTATAGGCAGAAAACGAGATCGGCTTTTACCAGCACCAGGAAGTCATGATCGACTTCGATACGGATGACCTTCCGCAGCGCGGATACTTGATCTTCGGCGCCTGCGCCGACTTCCCGGCCCGGAGTGCTCACAGGTATAGCTTGAACCAAGGAACAGAGCTGGGAAGAAAGGTCGGTTTTGAAGGTGGCAGAGAAGTCCTCTTGCCGTGCATGCAGCGTGGGGTTCATTACGGACCGCCCATAGTCCCAGGCGATCAGCGTTTGCAGACATTCGGCCACCTGCGCAGTGCGTCTGGGTTTGTACGGCTGTCGTGATGCCGTGTCGGGCGGGGCCCTGCCGGGAGCCAGCATGAAGCCGTCAGGCCCGTGCTGGAGTCCCGTAGCCTCGACGAGATGCATCATGGTGCAGCTACAGAGCCAGGAGACATGTGGTCTACTCGTGGTGCGCATGTACAACGTGCGCAGGAAGTATGCGGCCACGTGCTCGATGGTCGGGTATCGGCCGGCGACGTAGTCCTCGAGGATGCTTTTCGCGTGCTGCACGGCCCACAACTCCTTCTCTTGGGTCAATGCTGCTTCGGCGCCGTGAAACAGCGACCCCAGTGCCATGACCCCGCAGATCACCGCCTCAAAGCTCAACCCCTGAGGCTTCCCGTGCCAATGGTCCCCGGCCCGCTGAAGCAGACTCTCGTGGTCCAGGAAGTTGAACAATGGATGAATGGCGGCCACGTAGACATTTATCAGGCGCTTGGCGACTTCCCAGTCGATGACCTCGGCAGTCTGAAATCGGACGCTGGTTTCCGGTTCCCGTCGGAGTCCCGGGTTGTAGGCGAATGAATGTAGGCGTGGGGGATTGGAAGCCTGCACGTCCAGCCCCACGAAGAGAGGAAACGCGACCGAGGACTGTCGCCCCACAAACCGCTGCTTCCAGGGCTCTAAAATCCCCTGAGGAGCTGACGGGCTGTCGGTGCGAACCGCGCTCGTTCCGTGCGCAACCACGTGACCACCGTCTGGTACAGTTCGCCGCGCAGACCCCGGACGCGCGCTCGAAATATACTCGCAATCGACGTTGGAGCTCGCACACATGCTGCATGGAACATTGCCATTGCACTTGACTCTCCGCGACCGACATTGCGTGCAGGCCTGGCGCGATCGCTGCCGCTTTCGCTCCAAGCCGTCACCCTCCTCATCACTCGATGACTGCGAGTTGCGTCGTCCATGTCTACTCCACGTCAACATTCAGCCACAGTCCCACTGTTTGGGTAATACATAGCCTCACTTTCGACTCCCCCCATCGGCCGCGACATAGTCCGGCTTCAGCTTGGACGACCGGGACTGCTTCCAATTGTCGTGGGTGGACGGGGGACACGTGTGGGGGTTGTAGACCGTCACGCGAGGCTGTCCTTTCTTGGTCCCAATTCGTACCTCATATTTACAGAGAGGATCCCGACACTTGGCGATGTGGCGGGCGGGGTCTGACTTGGCGACGAGGTAGGATTCATGGCGATCGGCTGTATGGCGGAGGAGGGTGTGACGCGCCTGGGAGATGGTGTCGAATGTCATACCGATGCAGAAGGGGGTGATGTTCCCGGGGCTAATAAATGTTAGTAAGGACTTTACACCTGCAGATGTATGCGAAGGGCATACGATTGGCTGGATGGATCCATTCTCTGTGGCGTGGCTAGGGAACTATGGGGGGGATGGCGTTGAATGGGCAGGGCAGAAGGACAACCCTGAGATCATGCCCGATGCCATCAAATGCCACCACAAAAGCTGGGCATCCGAACAGAAGGCGGAGAGGGGCACGTGACAATAACGCACACGTGACATGGCATGACGCATTGAGGATGTCGCGCTGCGAGGGACCATGGGACGGTGTATTACTTGGATAATTATTCTTTCTCTACCCGATATTGCTGAGGTAGGTCGAAGGACGCTGTAGCTTGACCGGCAAGTAAAAGACTCGCTAGCGCCTACTCCCTGCAACTACCTCATAAGAACGTTTTACATATTCTACAGCGGTACACCCAAATGGATCTACAAATCGAAACGCCGTGCATAATTCAGATGACCGACCCGCACACGATCTCAATACGAGTAACCATGGCCTGGGCCTGAATAGCCCATGATTTCAGAATGACGCGAGGAACGAAGTCCTTCATACCCGGGGTATACAAAATCCGTCTCAAGGGCTACTGCGTTGGACCCTGAAATTATTGCTGTATCTACTCACCAGAACCACAATCTATCAACCTCAATTCTCATCACCAAAACTCCAACCATGTCCCGCAAACTATGCATCACCGCCGTAGACGGCCACACCGGCTCCCTGATCGCCGAGCTGATCCTGACGGACCCCAAATTCACCAAAGCCATCAGCTCCGTGATCGGCCTGACGCTGCACCCGGACGCCAGCGCCTGCAAGGAGCTGAGCAAACTGGGGGCGAATATCGTGCCCCACAAGCCGGGCCGCCTGCGCGAAATGGTCCAATCGCTCAAGGACACCGGGGCGGAAGCGATATGTGTGATCCCGCCCGCGCACCCGGACAAGCTCGACATCACCACCGAGCTCATTGAGGCGACCAAGCAGGCCGGGGTCGCGAATGTGTGCATGATCAGCTCCGCCGGCTGCGATCTCGCCGAGCGGGACCGACAGCCCCGGTTGCGGGAGTTTATCGATCTCGAAGTGCGGCTGCTCGCGTGCAAGGGCGATCCCTCCACTTCCACCGGTCACTCGCCGGTTGTTATACGGTAGGGCTGGGGAAATGAATGCATGGATTTTGAAAGATGTGTGTAATAACTTTGGGAACCTGCAGACCCGGATTCTACGCGGAAAACCTGCTGTTGTACTCCCGCCAGGCACAAGAGGAAGGGCTCCTGCCGCTGCCTATTGGCAAGAACCATAAGTTTGCACCCATATCGCTGGGGGTATCTTTCGCTCCTTCTGCGGGCTGTGACCGGACGAGTAAATTGACCGCTGCTAGGATGTCGCCCAAGTTGCAGCGCATGTCCTCTGTGGGAAGGGGAAGCACGGATTCAGTGACAAGCACCGGGGTCAATTGATGGTGCTGACGGGTATGTACGAAGGCACCCCATCAACTTCCGTGCGCCAATTTGTTGCTAAATACGACGTAGGCCCAATGCTCGCCACAGGCGACGAACTGGCGTCTGCAGCCAGCCAGGCTTTAGGAGAAGAGCTGAAGTTCGAGGATATCTCCGAGTGGGTTCATTCCCTCCTATCGTTGGCAAACTAGGGCATCCGAGACTAAACAGCGCATTCCTGCAGAAACGAAGCCAAGCGAGTCTTGCAAGCGCAGTCGGACAGCGACCAGTCCGAGGTGCAGTATCTGTTAGAATACTACTCGTTGGTGCGCGAGGGCAAGACCAACTACATTTCCACCACCGCGTTCCATGACGTCACCGGGGGTCACCCCCAAGAACCCCCGGACTTCTTCAAGGTCTATGCCCAGGAGTTCCATCCTAAGCGCGCCAACAAAAGACGCAAGTTGAGTGGGGGCCAGTGAGCGTGGTTACAGTGGCTTGCGGTGATGTAGTGAGTGGCTCATTGTAGATGTTTTCGATCGCTGGTGGTAGCGGTGGCGGTGGTGGATGAATCCAGCTCGTGTTGATGCCAAGGATCAGAAGCCAGCCATCGTGTTACCCCACAAAATTCCTGTATCTGCGGGGACGATATGTGAATACTGCTTGTTTGCCACTTGAATTGAAATACATTGGCGGTGATTCGTGGGTCGGCTGAGTGGTTAAACCTCGACCGCGTTACTCTTTCTTTTGGCGGGGTTAGGGCATCCTCAGCTTGAGTGGTCGGGAATATGCTTCCGGGACTCTCAACCAGGAAATGGACAATGGCCAGTCCATCACCCCAGCAAGCCGTAGACGCAATATGCAACGTGCGAGATGTTCTAGGATGCAGTAGAGGTGTCAAGCGCTAATTATGACGTGACCTTGAAGTGATCTTAGGGGGTTAATGTCCAGCAGCCAGTGGTATTTTGGTAGTTTTTAAACATCGCTATCTGTTCTGCTGAGGGTGACTTGCCATCGATCGTAGCCATACGTCTCCACCTCTTGCACGAACACCATACACAATGACTCTCATCAGCGACGCAATCAAAAACGACCACCGCGACCTCGAAGAGGCCTACAACAACATTCTGACCGCCGCAGGCGACGACGAGAAGCGCCGGTGGCAGAACCAGTTCACCTGGGAGCTGGCTCGCCACTCCATCGGGGAGGAACTGGTGCTGTACCCAGCGATGGAGGAGCACCTCACCGATGGGAAGGCGATGGCCGACAAGGACCGGGCGGAACACAAGACGGTAAGCTCAGCGGACCTGCCCCTTCTACCAGACAGTCTTGACAGTGGGACGAGACTAAGACGTGGATCCAGGTGAAAGACCATCTGGAAAAATTCCAGAACCTAAAGCCCGACGACGCAGAATTTATCCCGACCATCCAAGGACTCTGGGGCTCCCTTTCGCAACACATCAAGGAGGAAGAGGAGCAGGACCTGGTCAAGCTTGAAGCGAAACTAGATAACGAGGTCTCCAAGGCCATGGTCTCCTCGTTTAAGCGGACGAAGATGTTCGTCCCGACTCGCAGTCATCCGTCGGCGCCTGATAAACCGCCCTTCGAAACGGTGGCAGGATTACTGGCTGCGCCCATCGATCATATCAGGGACCTGTTCAGAAAGTTCCCGGACCAGGCTGCCAGTGACATTCCGCCATGAATGTTGTGGGAGAATTTGTTTGGTGAATTTGTGTTGATATATGTTTCAACGACTTCCTAATCGATGGGCTTGGGGAGATTGCCATGGGTGTACCAAGTACTGCGATGTTATGAATAGGTAGCATTGACGTGTTTAATGGGGACTGTGAAGCATAGTAGCAAAATAAGAATGAGCCTTCTAGAAACTACCGCCACATATAGTACTCAGACCTTTATGAAGCGTCACTCAAACTCGACAAGCTAACTTCCTTTGGGCATTAATCCTGTCACAATCAACCCATGACCCAGTGGCTCTAGAACATCATAAGGCTCAGGAAATTGTCAGGTCCTGCGCGATTCAGGGACATGATCCTACTCCGATGCACTCATGAGTCAATTGACCCGGGGTTGGCGGGGTAAAAGTGCCAAGTTGGGAGCGTGTCCGGCTTAGAATTACTGTAAGCGGTTAAGAGCCGGAATGACCCAAAGCGGGACCGGAACTCCGACGACCGATTGCCGACGCAATTTTTCCGCTTATGCTCTCCCCTAGAGTTATGAATTCGAAGATTTGTCAGACTCTCAATCGAACTTGCGTGTCAAGACGGTGTTATTCACATATTTGGGTAGGTGAGAGACAGCATTATTCATCATCAGACACACTCGATGATCTATCGAGGAATATTTCCTGCTAGCCCGTGGTGAACGGAGCATATGATGATGGGTTGCTACCCAGGTCCGCGGACCGGACAAGTTATGCCTATGCGCTGGGACGCCATGTGTCTCGCCGGTAACTCCTATCTCCACACTCCGGGCCCACCAGGCAAGCTCCAGCTTTTCTTTTTTGCTGCCCTGGAAGATGCGCCAGGGTGACATATATAAGCTAGAGGTCCACCTGGGTTCAAGATGGTGGACCAAGAGCTTGTGTCGATTCAAGATCCTTTGGTGATACATTAGAGCTTTATCTACGCCGCAACGATCCGTCAACGAATACACAACAGCACACGCATAACGCAGCACAATGGGTGCGGTACAAGAGGAAAGCACGCCGCAAAGAGATGTCGAAGCAGCCGCTGGACAGCCGCAGAAAGAGAAAGTTGTTGATCCATACATCGTGGATTGGGAGGGACCCGACGACCCCCAGTGTCCCATGACCTGGCCTTTGAGCAAGAAAGTGCGTCAGCTGGCCGGAATGGGGGTTAATAGTCTTCTCACGTACGTGAAAATGTGCCTCAGAGAGCGGAAAACGGAACCTCTGGCTAACATGCACGATCCAGACCTCTATCGTCGTCAATGTTCACCCCAGGCGAGGCAGACGTACTGGCCGAGTTCCACACTACAAACTCCACCCTAGGCTCCTTCGTCGTATCCATCTTCCTTCTGGGCTACGTGGTCGGCCCCCTGGTGATTGCGCCGTTGTCGGAGATGTACGGCCGGTGTCGACTCTACCACATCTGCAACACCCTCTTCCTCATCTTCACCATCGCATGCGCGGTCGCCCAAACGTTACCGCAGCTGTTTGTCTTTCGCTTCTTCGCTGGCGTCGCCGGAAGCTGTCCGATGACGCTGGGTTCCGGCACCGTGGCGGACCTTATCCCGAAGGAAAAGCGTGCAGGCGTGATGGCCATCTGGGCCATGGGCCCCATTTTGGGCCCCGTCATCGGGCCCATCGCCGGGTCATTCGTCTGCGCGAACATCGGCTGGCGCTGGGTCTTCTGGATCATCGCCATCGCGGTACGCTTAGCCCCCATCCAACCATCACGGAAAAATCCGCAAGCTAATGGCCCATCCTCCAGACCGGAGTAATGCTCATCGCGACCGTCTTCTGCTACCGCGAAACCTACAGCGTCGTGCTCCTGGAGCGCAAAGCCGCGTGCCTCCGCCAGGAAACCGGCAACGAGAAGTACCGCTCCAAGTTCGACCGCGGTACGCCGCGCAAGGAGATCTTCCGGCTGGCGGCGGTGCGACCCGTCAAGCTGCTCTTCCTGTCGCCGACGGTGCTGCTGATGGCGCTGTTCGGCGCCGTCTCCTACGGGTACCTGTATCTCATGTTCACGACCATCACCGCCATCTTCGAGGAGGTCTACGGCTGGCGCCAGGAGATCTGCGGCCTGGCGTACCTGGGCTTTGGGCTCGGGGCCATCCTGGGCGTGCAGGTCACCGGCTACATGGCCAACCGCATCGCCGCGGCCCACACGGCCCAGGGCCGGTTCGTGCCCGAGTCGCGGCTGATCCCGTGCCTGTACGGCTCGTGGCTCCTGCCCATCGGGCTGTTCTGGTATGGCTGGTCCGCCGACAAGCAGGTGCACTGGATCATGCCGATCATCGGGACGGGGATCTTCGGCGCGGGGCTGATGTGTGTTTTCGTACGTGCCCCCCTTTTCCTCTCTCGCACGTGGTCTGTATATGCTAACTGCCTGGTAAATGCAGCTGTGCATCAACACTTACCTCGTCGATTCGTATCTCCTCTACGCTGCCTCCGTGACGGCCGCCAACGCGGTGTTGCGCTCGCTAATCGGGGCGCTGCTCCCGCTGGCCGGGCCGTCGATGTACGATGCCCTAGGGTTGGGATGGGGCAATTCTCTGCTGGCGTTTATCGCGCTGGTCTTTTGCATGTTCCCGGTGTTCTACAGCCGGTATGGGGCCCGGATCCGCACGTCGCCCAGGTTCCGGTTAAATCTGTAATGGGCGTGGGTGGCACTGTTGTCTTTCTCAGCGAAACAAAAAGATTTCTCTTCTCACTGTAATGTACTTAATGATAGAACTGGAGCTTGACTTTATCTCATCGATGTATCGTGGAGGTTACTCATGGTTTCAACAAGCATGTATGGCCGGACAGTGTGGTGAGTACTTAGGGCTCATCGTCTGCTTAGCTCGTCTCTAGCCAGTTGTTGAGCGTGAGCAACGGGAGAAGTTCGTCCAGTCTATACGAAATTCGTTGCTACTATATCCCCTGCTAACACCGGGTCGGGGCTACATGTAGATGACCTGGTAGGTGATAATGTTCCCGGCGTGGGGTGAGCAGTGTACTGTGGGCGAGCTGGACAGCTGTACTTTGACTTCGTGGTTATAGATGATTCATATGGCACTCGACCGGATACTGAGATAGTGGATGGTAGTTCACTTTGAGTAAACTACCGCAAGAGTAATGCATTCTACAGAATGGGTTCATGATTTGTGAGATAATGGAATTCGTTCTCCGGACAACGTAATTGATTATCATCAGCCTCTGTATTTCAGAACCCAGAGAAGACCAGGTTCCCAGTCCCGGCAAAACGAGCATCGGATTCAGCCATCTAACTTCATTAGCAAACGTAGACCGAGGAAAGAGAGGAAACAAATAAAGCAAAGCGACAAAGAAGAAGCACCTTCAATCTCAAAGTCTGCTATAGCATGACGAATTGTTCCTTGCTGTTCAGCCATTGCCCATGGTCCACTTGAAAAAAGTGTGGATTGCACCGAAAGCCAGTTCTACCGTCCGGTGAAGCATCGATCAATTCGGCTGTGCTGTGCCGGTCCCGCCGAAGTTGTCCCGTCGCCGCTTTCAAGAGATAAAATTATAAATGATTCAAATATCCCTTCCTCTGTGTCGTTTACAACGCAGAAAACACATCACAATTTTGGTTTCCTCTACTTCAGGCAGACAATGTACTTCTCCAAGAGCAGTCTGCTGATCGGCTTCGCCTTTTGGGCTCTCGGCTGGAGCACCGACGTTCCTGGCTATTCCATAAACACACCGTCTGTACGAGCCTCTCTACCGACGGTCTGATAGTTTGTAGAGCTGGAGCAAGAGCATCCTTTGCGTAGAAATTGGCAAGTGTACTGACTGTTCTGACTTGGATTATCACGAAGCTACGTGATCACCAAGAATACCATCGAGAGTGCCTCTGACGGTCCTGGCATCAACAACACGATTCACCAAGGAATCTTGCCCAAGCTCCCAGTTCACGTTGTTGCTCTGGAGCAGGTAATTGACGCCTTGAATCATTCGGGCCCAACAGTTGCCTATGCATTATTATGTCAGAAAAGCACGATCGTAGACGGATGTTGTGCAGAGCTGCTCGGAGAGCTAGGGTAGCAACACGGGCTCTGGAAGGCTCGGTTTATATCTCATATGGACAGCGACTGGCGAGTAGTGGGTTGCGTTCCTAGTTAATGTATTACATTTTGGACTGATGTAAAGTGGATGCCTCTGAATTTCCTTTTCTTTTGTTCTCTTTTTCTTTGCTCTCCTCCTTTTGGTGTAGATTTATTTGTTCCCAAGATGGGTTCTATGATTGATCGAATAAGGCGTCGCGGCAATTAGAACAACCTTTCAATTTTCAGCCTCGAGGAATCCATATTATCACGTTGAATATCTGGGGATGCAAAGATGCATATACGTGACAGGAAAATTCCGAGAAACAACTCAACCGCCCCAATTGACTACTGCGAACACAGAGCAATATCATCCTGGGGAAGAATAGCAAATCAACAATCTTACGCATCTCCAAATCATTCAAATTCCAGGAAATCTAGAATGGCATTCATCTCGGCCGACCCACCACCGTGTATGATCGGGAACGAGAACTTGCCCTCCGTCAAATCCTCGCAGAACCCTTTGTTCGAGGTGAATGCTTCACCCTTCAAGTTCTGGTAGTCGTCGCATATTTGGAATATGGTGCCAACTAGGTTGATCAGTGAGACGTAGTCCCTGATTCAGCAGGAGCGGGAAGAGTAGGATTGTCACCACCGGTTCGTGGTTTGGGGGAAGGTCAGCTCAAGTCATTCTTACCCTGACTTTCTGCTCTCGAGCTGCATCAGTCTGATCGCCAGCCTGAACAGTCCACCAGTCTTGTTGGACACCATGTTCAAATACTCCTCTTCCGTAGGACAAGCCAGTGAGTCCCGCCAGTAGAGGTCCATGCCTTGCCCGCGGTGCAGATTGAGCATTTCCTCCGTAAAGATGGGAAGAGCGGCCGGGTTGGCCAGGCCCTCCAGGTGCTTCTACGCCAGAAAGTAGGCGTGATTCGCGGAGTTGATCGTCTGCGCGACCCCGAAGATGCTGTGCGCCACGGGGAGACCTTGCCGCAACGTCGACCGGTCTTGGATGTCATCGATTCTATCGGATGTCAGTCAAGCTCGCGGAATGCAGGCCCATAGTGGATGTCTACTGACAAGAGGGGAGCCGTATGCAACAGCTCAATGACCCGACCGATCACGTTAAGCTTGTCTTGTGGGACCCCCCAGGAGTCGATTGAACCCCGGGAAGAGCTTCCGAGGGAAGCTCTTCCCGTGCGAAGAGAGCAGGTATTCCATGGGACCGGAGATAATCTGTAGCCGAAGCAACTGTGAGCATGATGGTCTCCCTTTCTGTGAGAACATATCTGCGAGCCTCCTCCTGGTTGGGAACGTGGCTAGTTGATACTTCGTGGCCATGGATCTCAAGTCTACCGCTCTGCATCTCGAGACTCCCGAGACGAGGTTGTGACACCTCGATACGTGTGTCTGACTTCTCATTAAAGAGTCCAACTGCCAGTTCCTCGACGTGGGCAATGAATACTGTGTGGTGGGGCCAACGCAGTCCGGCATGGCTTCCAACTGCGAGACGTTCTACACCGCGATTGACGGTGATTCGTGCTGGTCGATTCAGCAAAAGTACGGTATCAGTGCGAAGGACTTCTTGACCTGGAACCCTGCAGTAGGAAGCGACTGCGGCGGGTTATGGGTTGGTGAGTCGTATTGTGTTGGCGTTTGACGCGTGTGTCATAGCCACAGACCTTGTTGAATGCAAGCATAGTCTGGGGTATTCAGCACACAAATAGTATACACTTAGTTCGCCGGACAGTCCTATTGATGTTAGAATTAACTCTGTGGCCAGGGACCACCTCATACGTTTATCCGAGATCATCTTGACGACTGGTACATCATCAGCTGCCAGGTGTCTCTCTACTGTTTCATCATGTACTGACTCACTATTCTTCCTCTGATTCTGCTTGCAAGTTTGGGCCTTTGCTATGCTGGCTAGAACCTCTTGATGATCTAGGAGTAGGCGTATATGTCTCTCTCAATTTCAAAATTCTTGAATATAGGCGTCGTGAGTAAATGGAGCAGTATGCCCCAATATTTTAGCAGTATCTAGAGAAAAAAGAAAGAAAAAAAAGAAAAAAACCTCCTGGCCTAGCTTGCCTGTAGTAGAAGTATACTTACTTATGAAACAATATATAATATCCATGATATCTAAATTTTGTCATAATATACTAATCGGTATCTCTACGTAAATATGACTCTAAGCATTATATAGTCCTGTAGGAGGAGCAGAGTTCAGTGAAGATATCTTGCTATAGATACCGTCTATATCTATTAATCCACAAAAGCAATCAAATTATTGCGGTCGTCAAAGAAAGGCCTAGTGCTTTGCGACTGTGCCTAGAACCTGAACATGTCGTCCTCGACTAGATCGATCTTAAGCATCCTTGACGCAAACCGTGAGAGAGTCAAATTTATGCGGCAGCTCACGGCTATCTTCTCATATATCCAGATAAACTTTTCAAAACTGCAATCTTTTCTCAGAAGACGCATATTGCTAATTCTCCTTTGCTGCATCCAATGTCTTCGCATCCTCCTTCATCCCATCCATCACCCACGGGCGATGGAACTCCTCAAACCCTCGGATCTTGATCCCAGTCTGATCACCTTCCAGCGCAATGGCTCCATGGGGCTCTGGCATATTCATTTCCCTAACGGCACTGGGCCGCTGCAAGATCCATTCATACCATTCCTGCACGGCAGGAAATTCGCTTAAGTCGACCCCAGCCCACGGAGTGGTGGCTGCAATGCTCCACAATGCAATAGCTACAATCGTGCACTTGTCCCCGACAATAAAACCCTACCGTTTCTGCGCAAGCTGCGTCTCTAGGACAGAATACAGTCGGCGGGATTCGTTATGGTATCGGTCCAGTGCATACGGAATCCGCTGAGGGACGTGTCATAGAAAATGCGTGGCGTGGCCCTGGAAAGGGCCAATGCCGCCAAACTGAAAGAAGGGCTGGGGTGGTGATGAAGACCAGTATAATGGTTCGAGCTGAGTCCTGATAATGATGTGAGAGGCAATCTTACCCCGCTGAAGAGCTTATAGTTCTCTCGGATACCGTACGGGTACCAAAGCCGGTACCCCGGATTGTACCGCTCCACAAGGTATTTGAGGACACTTCCTGACTCCCAGATATAAATCGCTTACCCATCACTGAAGGTATCTGTGATGGCGGGGATCTTGCTGTTTGGGTTAATCTTCAGATACCATAGTTCGTTGTGGGTGCGTGCGCTGAAGTCGTGCTTGTGCACATGGTAGGAAATACTAAGCTCCTCCAGTAAGATTAAGGCTGTGTTCCCATTGGGAGTTTGGGTGGTGTAGAATATGATGCTGGGGTTGACTGGCGAAGACATTCTAACCAGAAGATACAGAGCAGGGAGCATAATATAGAGTCGGAAGATGTGATGGATTATTGGGAACACAGTCAATAGCTGACCATATATACATTTCTGAATATAAGCTACTGTAGCTTGGTAATACAACTCAACAGGCCCTAGAACAACGTCGAAGATATAGTTGTTCCTAATCTGGCAACAAGCCCTATCCACATTTCAAAAATACCCGATTGGGAAATATCGCCTACGTCAATGGAAGGCGCTAGCCTCAAGACAGAGTAGTGCGTCTTCAACCTCATTCTTCTTCAGATTCAAAATAATCTTATTTGACTACTGTTTTCCTCTACTTGCAGCTATCGAAACAACAGCTCAAAGGTAGCTGTGGTCAAATACATAGCATTATGTGTCACGCTTTTGCTAGTGACTGCGAATCTTTGCCTGTTCCCAACATCGCACATCATGATCTGCTAATATTGTTTCATCATACCTTCCTTGTTCTTCTCTGCCTTTCTCCGTTTTACTGCCTAAGTGAGACAAGTGATATATCGTTCGGCGAAGAATGTGTAATTCTTGCCCACTCTATCCGAAACGGTCATGCACAGAGCAAAATAAATAACATGGTTGTTGGTGTTTTTCTGATATTTCCCTCTTGATTGGTGTTTGATTAAATGACCTACCTATTGAGTTTACCGACAAGGCTTCAAGCCTACACCTAACGCAAACGTACAGGCAAAGGCCCCCAGAGCCGAATATCCCCCAGCCACTTCAACACAGTCGAGCGGTCATCGGGCACGGGCTCAGCCCCGATCATGGTCGCAGGCAATCTCGGGGCCATGATGAGCAGGAGATTGTACAGGTCCGGTTCCTGGTCAATGTCACCGTCGTCGAAGGGGGACGGAAACTGGCTGGACCATCGGAGATCTTCCCTTTTGTCGCGCCACCAGGCGTCCAAGGGCAGAGTCAACTTCAGCCGATCCAGAATGTCAGTCAACTGTTCGTGCAGCGTTTCATGCTCTTGCTCCGCATCCTGTGGCCAGTCCTCGGTGCGGACGATGGCCCGGACCATCAGATGGCGGTCGGTCGGGACGCACGGCTCGAGACAGAACGCCTTGCGCCTGAGGCGGTCCTCGATCTGGCAGCGGAGGCCGATGAGCAGCTCCGGTATCGCGAGGTTGACTGGCGCGTCGTAGACCCAGAAGTCGAGATACCACCGGGGTGGATCGGGCGGTGCCTCTGAGGCGGAGGGCTGAGCCTCAGCTACAGATGACGAAGGCATTGGGTGATTCATTGTCTGTACAATTGTCTTCGGGGTTTGGGTCTGGCTTGGAAGCCTTCATGGTGGGTAAGGGGTTGAGTACTTATATCTAAAGGAAATTTATGCCGATGATTGACAGAGGGAGCATTTCATGAGCTGGGATACAAATTAAAGAAAAGCATTACGCATTGCGCCAGTCGGAAAGAGCAAAATCTACATTATCCGTTTAAATTCCTGTCTCCGATTGAGGCTATGGTTCCATGCCGACTTTCAGTGATACTCATCGAGCTCTGCGGGAGTAAAGCGCTTGGAGTATAACAGTCGTTGGGCGTTTTTGTTAGAGCAGACAATGGTTTCAAGGGGATCTCCGAACATGCTCTTTCATCCGCAGGTGATCCAGTAGTTGAAATGACAATAGTAAATCTTTCAGGAAAATACATTCCGTAATCTTTATGAATGGCAGTCTTTTAGGGTTATCAAGATCAAATGCCTTTGTCTCAAGCGACATCGTGCTTCAAGGTGACCATTGGCTCACGAGCGCGGGACATGTATGTATTTCTAAGCAGGAATTCACACTACTTGCTATCTGTGCACTAGCTCATCGCTTTGGACTGATCTTCCAAGACATAGTAGTCGACAACAAAAAACACTGGCTTTTTGCTAGAGATTGCATGCTACGCAACTATGCCATTAAGAGTATTGAAAGGAGGATGCAGTCGCCCGCTCACGCGCATCTTTCAATCGTCAAATCCATACGGTACCTTGTGAATGCGTTTATGATTAATCATTCCTGGCAAATAGAGCAGAACAGTGGCAAGATCCTATTCTTTACTGATGGATATTCAGTACGACCAGAAGCCCCTTCCGGGCTAAGTAACCATAACTGTTGATGTGTGAAACGTGATTTGGATCAATGACATATGGGCGCATGCACAGATGAGCACCTATCAGCTGGTGGCGGTTGATAATGGACAGACATACTATGGGTGTCAGACTGACGTGTGATGCCAAGTCCCCGTCCGCCCGCCCAAACAACCCAGCGATGTGCTGCATATTACACATGCATCTGCCCAACCGGAGCCCTGGGAGTCATACTCCGATCAACTGGGGAAACCGCATTCCATGCGCAGATGGACCAAGCTTAAGCTACGGCTTCTCTCCCGACCTATGAATCGTCCTATGCCTTTGCGCAATAGTGACATGTTTCTCGTATGCGGTACCGCATGGAATACGAGGCCCAGCTACTTACATTAAAAAGCCCGCTTAGTGCCCTAGCATGAGTTGCCAAAATCACATTTTCTTATCCAGTGAACAAAGTTGAACATACCCAACAAAGACAGAATGCTCTCATCTCGCTTCCTAAAGCAGTCCCTCCGCGGAGGTATCCCCAAAGCCACCTCCCGGGCCCCTCCCGCCGCCCTGCCCCGCCGCCAATTCGCCATAACCGCCGTCCAACGCACCCATATCTCCGAGGTCATCACCAGCGACCACCGCGACCTCGAAGACGCCTACAACCACATTAAGAGCGCCGCGAACGAAGAGGACCAGATCAAATGGCAGAACCAATTCACCTGGGCGCTGGCCCGGCACTCCCTGGGCGAGGAGCTGGTGGTGTACCCGTCCATGGAGAAGCACCTGAACAACGGCCCTGAGATGGCCGAGCACGATCGCATGGAGCATCAAGTTGTTCGTTCCCCTGAATGTCCGTTGTAATTACCCTGATCCCATACTCATGACGGCCATGCATGCAACAGGTCAAAGAACTCCTCTACAAATTCCAGGGACTCAAGCCCACGGACCCGGAATTCATGCCGGTGCTAGAGAACCTCTGGGGCAACCTCGCACAACACATCAAGGAGGAAGAAGGAAAAGATCTGCCGCAGCTGGAGAAGACCCTTGATGACGGGGAGTCCCGGCAGATGGCGGCCTCGTTCCATCGCACGAAGCAGTTTGTGCCGACGAGGAGTCACCCCAACGCCCCGAACAAGCCGCCGTTTGAGACCGTCGCGGGCTTGATGGCGGCGCCGATGGATAAGATCCGGGATATGTTTAGGTCGTTTCCGGAGACGAAGGATCAAGCGACCAAGTAAATTTTGAGGGGTGAGTTGGCTGGTTCGCGGGTGTGCGGGTGGCTAGGATGCTGTATTATTTTCGAGATTACTGTACTGTATATTGAACACAAGGTAAATGAATGACTTTACTTCTTGACATACTTAAGCAATGGAATTGGGTCCACTAAGCCTGTTGCTCATTGACATACGTCCATGCTCAGCTCTGTGGGTAGTGGTGGCCAAGACTCTGAATGTACTCAGGGAAGATGGTAGAGCTGAGTGAAGAATTTAGCCAAGTTGCGTTGATCTACGGCCGGGCTATGGGTTCTCAACACGGGCTATACAGGGATCCTTCCAACAAGTCCAATTGCTAACTTGACATTCAAACAATTGACATTATTTCCCTTGTGGGCGAATTTGCTTCTAGAAGGCCTGACAGCCTAAGGCAGAACATGCCAGTCCAGCGTTCGAGAAATCTACTCTCCCTGAGACGTGATAGGGGCATCACCAAGATGCTTTTGAATCATATATAATGTCAGTTATCTGGATATTCTGCGTAAGACGCAGATAACGAAATGCGCATCCCGGGACACCAACGCGTAGGAGATTTCCTACTGCCTGGCAGCATTTCGGATCGATCCGATCCTAGATCCAGCCCTAACGGGGCTCCGATCTAGACTGCCAAGTGGTTACATCCACACCCTGCGAGGGTGTCAACAGACCACATCAAGCGGCATAGCAGGTGAACGCGAAGCATAGCACCCAGCCCGCCCAAACAAGCCCCATCATCGCCCATCTCAGTACAGGGAACAGCAGTTAAACCCTGACAACCTCCTCATGACTATACCGGGCTCCCTTCTCTAACTCCCTAGCCTTACCCTCCCCCTGCCTGACCACCACCTCCCCTCTCCCCTCAGCCTCCAGAGCATCAACCCCTACAAACCCAGTCTGATACCACCTCACCCCCACAAACACCTCCCTACACCCCTCCATACTCCTCCCCTTACACTCCGGAAACGCAACCCAGACCCACCCGGTCGCGAGCGCCGTACACGCCGCAAAGAGCGCAAAGGGACCCCAACTGTGCATCTCCCGCACCATATTCGGAAAGCCCCGCGTGATGCCGAAATTCAGGAGATTCTGGTAGGTGAACGCGACGGCGACGACGGGGCCGCGCAGCCGCGTGGGGCAGATCTCCGACGCCGTCAGCGAGAAGACCGGCGCCCAACCGACACCGTACCCCACCGCAAACAGACAGATCGCGACGATGGCGAGCCAGGCGGCGGCGCTGGGGGAGCCGCGCGCGGAGATATCGGCGACGCCGAGGAAGATGCAGAGATACAGGAGGCAGGCCGTGCAGATGGTGGACCCGATGAGGAGCAGCGGGCGGCGGCCGTAGCGGTCTGTCAGCAGGAAGGCGTACAGGAAGATGGTCAGCAGTTTGATGAGGCCGTAGACGGCGGTGAAGAGGAGGCGTTGCTGCGACGACAGGCCGATGGATTTCAGGATCGTGGGCGCGTAGTAGGTGATGGAGTTGCCGCCGGACATGATGAAGAAGGTTTGGATGAGGAGGACGAAGGTGAGCAGGTGGGCCGTGGGGCGGTCGTGGAGGCTTTCGGTTATGAGGTGCTTGATTGCGGCGAGGCCGCCTTTGCTGTTGGACTCGGACTGGGGGAGGAGGTGGAGGTCGGTGAGCTCGGCGTGGAGGTAGGGGTCTGCTTCGGAGAGGCCGCCGCGGAGGCGGCGCAGGCTGTTGCGCGCGGCGGTGGTTTCCCCGCGCATGAAGAGGTAGCGTGGGCTTTCGGGAAAGAATGGATAGCCCAGGAACAGGGCGAGAGAGGGGATGAGTTGCAGCGTCAAGGTAGCGCGCCACTGCCAGCTGGAGTCTGGCGGGAGGACCTCCAGCGAGGCGTAGTTAATCCAGTAGCTGCCGGCTACGCCGGCCATGATGTTGATGTTATAGAAGGTGGTCATCATCCCCCGCAGCTCCTGGGGGGCCACTTCGGAGATGTACACCGGTCCGACGGTCATGCCTAGCCCTGATCCTAGGCCGGACAGGACACGGCCAGCCAGCAGCTGGGCAAAGGAGCCGAAGTTGGCTGCCATTAGGACGGCGCCGATAGTGTACAGAATCGCGGCGGAAAGGATGACGGGCTTTCGACCGTACCGCTCACCGAAGGGACCGGAGAAAATGACACCTGCAGTTTGACCCTATGCTGTAGATTAGCTGCGAGCTGCCCACAAAGCCCTCGGTAGGACTGCTGAGTGGGCTTACCAGGAGCATGGAAGACACGGCCCAGCCTGAGTCATTCGAAATCTGCGAATCTGTCGAGTTTGTCCAACCGAAATCCCGGACGAACGGAGCCAGGCTCATGGCCCCTGAGATGTTGGAGGTGTTGAAGCCATGAAGACCGCCGCAGTAAGAGGCCCAGATGACGGCAAGCCAGATGTAGGGCTTCCGGGCAGCCTTGGGGACCTTTTGAAAGGCGCTCTTGTCGAACCCGCCGCCTGCTGCACCCATGGTCAAGACAAAGTCACCGTCGGATAAGTAGAGATTCAGTGAAGTGGAGGAGAGTCTGGTTGATTTCATTCTGTGCTGGATGGGATACTTGCTGGAGTATTTATAATAGCAGAGCTGTCATGGTTCTCGGTCTAGATGACCTGATACCTTGCGCATTGACAGTTACCCCATTCCAGCCAAGCGGAATCCGGGGTGCGTGGCACGAGATGCGGAGGTGGAGCCCTTGGATCGTGGGGAGTCGAGACAGAATCTGTCTTCATTATCATCGCAGGGTGGCTCCGAGGGTCGATACTGGAGCATTCCGGAATCTCAGCGGGACTGAATACGGGCACTGGGCCCACCGTTCCAGATTTTGAACCCGGGGTAGACAGTGCTAGTTAGTCCACAGTCGACGGCTATCTCTGCTTCTGGGGTTTGCCGTGCCTTCTCCTCTTGTAGTCTTCATAACATGTGCCTTCTCACGGTTAGGAGACTAAAAGTATGAACTCTCTTATTTGTATTGTACTATTACTTACGAATAAAGATTTTCCTTGGATTGAAACATGGCCATAAGTCAATTCTCCGGACTAGGCATTATTTTAGAGTACATTCCATCATCCCCACCCATCTCAAGAGAGAGCGGTCGCTTTGATATGGTTCAGGGCGCTTCCAGCTCGTAGCCACGCAATCTGACCAGCATGGTAGCTATGATTCAACTTGGCCTCCCACACCTGACCCTCGCGGGGTGTGACTCGCATGACCACCTGCGAGTTCGGAGCAAGCTCGCCCTCTTCGACGCCGATCAGTGAAATACGGTCACCCTCGGCAATACGATCGTACGTAGCGGGATCCTCAAACGTGAGAGGCAGCATGCCCTGCTTCTTCAGATTGGTCTCGTGGATTCTCGCGAAGGAGCGTGCGATCACCGCGACACCTCCCAGATACCGGGGCTCCAGAGCGGCGTGCTCCCGCGAGCTGCCCTCGCCGTAGTTGTGATCCCCCACAATGCACCACCTCACTCCGCACTGCTTGAGGTCCCGCGCTACCTGTGGGACAACCTGCAACTCAGCTGTGATCGGGTGGTGGGTATGACCCAGTAATTGCGGGTCGTCCGCGGGGAGGAAAGCATTGGTCGCGGTGGTGAGCATGTTGTTGCTGATGTTTTCCAAGTGGCCCCGGTACTTGTACCACGGACCGGCCGGGGAGATGTGGTCTGTCGTGCACTTGCCCTTTACTTTGATGAGCAGCTCCATCGTCTGAGCTGCACCCTTCTGCCAGGCCGGGAAGGGTTGCAGCAGTTGCAAGCGGTCGGAGTCGGGGTGTATAGCCACCGCTTCAGCGCCCCCGTCACTCGACGGAGGCTGGAACAGGTTCTGTCCGCTTTCGAACTGGGTGGGCAGTTCCTCGCCGACTGGAGGGCTCAGTCGGACATTGCCCTTGTCTGAGACGATACTGTCCGTCAGCGGGTTGAAGTCCAATCGCCCGCCGTAGGCGAACGCAGTCACCAATTCCGGGGAGGTAACGAAGGAGTGGGTCGCTGGGTTGCTATCATGACGACCAATAAAATTGCGGTTGAAGCTCGAGATCACCGAGTTCTTCTGCTTCTTCGCCACATCCTTGCGGTCCCAGGAGCCGACGCAGGGTCCGCACGAGCTGCTCAAAACTTTGGCGCCGGCATCGCGTAACTCCTGCAAGATGCCGTCGGCTTCGGCTGTCGCGCGGATGCGTTCACTGCCCGGGGAAACCATGAACGGGGTCTTGAACTTGGTGATGCCCGCTGCACGGGCCTGGGACACGATTTGACGGGCTTTGTCCAAGTCTTCGTAGGAGCTGTTCGTGCAGCTGCCGACCATGGCGTGGCTCAGCTCCACGGGCCAATCCTGCCCGGCCACCGCATCCTTCAGCTGTGAGATCGGGTGTGCCAGGTCGGGTGTGTATGGTCCGTTGACGTGGGGCTCCAGGGTGGTCAGGTCCAGCTCGATGATCTGATCGTAGTAGTCGTCCGATCCCTCATCCGCCGTCAACAGCGTGGATCTCGTGTTTTCAGCCTCGATCCGCTCCACGCTGTCTGCTCGTCCGGTGGCCTTCAGGTACCGGCCCATGGCATCCGAGTACGGGAATATGCACGAGGTAGAGCCGATCTCGGCGGACATGTTACAGATCGTCGCCATGGCGGTTGCGCCCAGCGTCTGCGTGCCAGGACCGAAGAACTCAATGACACGCCCCTTACCCCCGGAGACGCTCAACAGCCCCGCCAGCTTGCAGATGATGTCCTTCGTGGAGGTCCAGCCCTGCAGCTGTCCTGTCAACCGCACACCCACCACCCTCGGCGCCACCAGCTCCCAGGGCATCCCCGACATGGCATCCACGGCATCCGCGCCTCCCACTCCGATCCCCAGCATCCCCAACCCTCCCGCATTCGGGGTGTGTGAATCCGTTCCAATAATCAACCCACCAGGCCTATTCCCGTTAGCTCCTGTCCCTAACCCTCACCCGTCATGTGAAGTCTGACTCACACAGCATGATTCTCAAAAATAACGGTATGGATAATCCCCGAACCAGGCTTCCAGAACCCGATCCCATATTTCCTCGACGCGCTGCTCAAGAAATCATACACCTCGCGATGCTCCGTCTCCGCGCGCCGCAGATCCTCCTCCGCCCCTTTCTCGGAGATGATGAGGTGGTCGCTATGCACGGTGGTGGGCACGGCCACGCGTGGCAAGCCCGCGCTGATGAACTGCAACAGCGCCATGGTGGCCGTCGCATCGTGGCACGCCACCCGGTCGGGCCGCAGCTCCAGGATGCTCTGGCCGCGCTGGATCTTCTCGAGACTCCATTCGCGGTTGCCGGAGGTGATGAGGTGGCTGTAGAGGAGTTTCTCGGTCAGGGTGAGCGGCCGCTTTGAGCCTTGCTTGAGCTGCTCGAGGGTGCGGAGTTGGTGGGCGTAGTTGACGGCAGAGTGCTGTTGGGTTGCAGGTTAGTACTCGGCCTTCTTCCAAGTTGAACATTGCAAAAGGGGACAGTGGTGTCTCACAGCAGAAGAAGCTGGTTGCGTCGCATAGGTTCTTGTGCTTCGGGTGTAGAGATGGCAGTGCGCGCGGTTAGCCCCGCGCAAGGAGGATGGGAGTCGCTGCATGGTGATTTCGAGTGTCACTGGTTTCCACGCATTGCTCGAGGATATGAAGAACGAAAGAAGTTGCGATTGAGTCCGCCATTTTTCTCTTCCTATGAAGTCTCTCATATTACTCAGGTGCTTGTACGGTCCTCCGCAAGCTTTTTTGGAGAGGGTCTGGAGAAGCCCGAGCTCGGCGGGGTTGGTCCGGGGCGGTAGACAGACGGATTACAGCTCAATACACCCGTAATACCTCCAGATCGACGTTTGACGAATTTTGATTCAATGGGGACCCTATATTACTTCTTTCTGCCTTCTACTGGTCATGGATTGTAGGCCTCTCCAAGCTCTATTTTGTGGTGTGAAGTCTTCATGTTGCATGGCGAAGGACTACCCCAGTCGTACAATACGCGTAATTACCCCACGTTTAGAGCTATTGTATGCCCGGAGTAGCCCGGGAACCGCGGCCGCAGTGTATCATCGGCAAGAACCGATGCATAGTACCTTTCTGAAATCGGGGATGGGTTAACACTGCCCGTCTCTTCTCAACATCCCACAATTTCACCCAATACTCTCCTCTCGATATCCCCATCCCCCTGACACTCTACACAAGCCCACCACCAAAATGGCTCTGCGCACCGAAACAATCCAAGCCCTGCGGCGCTTCGCGTCCTGCGACGTGAGTAACTTACCCCCATCCGCTCGCACTTTCCAGTGATAACCCTCAAACACAATACTAACTCATAACCTCATCATCTCAAAGATCGGCGACGCCCTCGTCAAACTCGGCGTCCCGAACGGGGGCTACCTCTCGGGCCTCAAGATGTTCTCCCCGGGGCTGATGTGCACGAGCACCAAGATCTTCGGCCCGGCCTACACGGTACGCATGGTCCGCGACTCGGACAAGGCCTCCCCAACGCCCCCGAAGCACTTCGCCGACGCCATCCCCAAGGGCAGCGTGGTGTTCGTCTCCCAGCCGAAGGGGCTGGTCAGCGCCTGCTGGGGCGGGCTGATGAGCACGCGGGCGCAGCAGCTCGGGGCCGCCGGCGTGGTGATCGACGGGCGGTTCCGCGACGTGGCCGAGCACCGCCAGCTCGGCGTGGGCTTGTTCGCCCGCGATGTGAGTATCCTCGGGTCGGCGAGTTTCACGCGCTCGTCCGAGTTGAATGTGCCCGTCACGTATGCGGAGGGCAGTGCTGGGGAGAGTGTGGTTATCCAGCCCGGGGATTATATTGTCGGGGATGCGGATGGGGTGGTGGCGGTGCCCGTCGGGAAGATCGAGCGGTGTGTGGAGTTGTGTCAGGAGCGGTTTGAGATTGATGAGGAGACGAGGAGATGTTTGGAGCAAGGGGAGGAGATGGGAGCTACGATTAAGCGGTTGCGGAAGTGAGGTTGGGGGGTGCATGTGGTTGTGGTCTGGGTGCTAGGTGCTATATGTGGTCATCATTTCTGTTCTATCTTCGTTGTGTATGGACTTTATATGCTTGCATGTCTGGATAAGTTTGGTATGCTGTTGTGACTAGCTTGGAAAGTGGTAGCTGTGGAGTGCTATCGGATGCATCCGTCGGCTGCGCATGTAGGCAAAAATATATTCACAGCACCGGCGAACGGTGCATTTCTACAACAACAACAACAATCCAAAGCCACTTCTTGATTTGATTAAAACCGGATACAAAGGTACATGAGCGCAAGAAATAGTCTCTAAGCTTGAATTCGCCCAAATAACGCAGGAAGCACTTTCAGAAAAGATATAAGTGAGCATACAACGGACAGGCGCTATTCCCCTTCGAGCCACCCCGCACCCCGGATGCTGAGGTAATCAGACTAGCTCGGCTTCATCGGGGCAGGAAGTGCTTGGCCGCTTAATCTTGCATGATCATCCCCATCCCATTCTCCAGATTTTGCTGCTTCATATCCTGCGTGATTATCCATGAGCCCGAGATCACAAGATGCGGCGGCGCCGACTCCGGCCAAGAAGGTCCGCCTAGCGTGTCGGCGATGCAGAGCCAAACGCATCAAGGTGCGCCTGTAATCAGGGACTCCTCATTGGAACCCGCATCATCCATCGGCTACCGGCTAACCATCACAATGCAGTGCGATGGCGGCATTCCAGCATGCTCGAACTGTGCCCGTGCTAAAGCAAGCTGTGTCGACGTCGATGGCCGCAACAATGACATTTCCATCCCACGCGAGTACGTGCATTGGACACGTGAGGACAAGGTGGCAAGCTGACGGTACACCAGCTACGCTGTACGGTGCCATGCGCGGATCGAATGGCTTGAAGAGCAATTGCTGCTTCTAGACCCAGAGTTCGACCTCTCCAGGGCACCGCCAATCGATCAGTCGGTGATGCCAAATACCGTCCTACGTAGGACCTCATCGGCTACCCCGACGGGAAGTACCGCCGTGCGCCCACCGTTGACACTGGGAGAATCCAATACCAGGAAACGACCGTTTGATTCCTTGCATGCATCAGACAGTGAATTTCTACCACAGACACCTGCTCACCTACCAAGTACCGAACACTCAGAGTTGCCCGCTTCATGCGTGCAGCAAGCGGCCGAAAAGGAGGCTGCTACCCCATCGGCCGAAGCACGCTCTGTGGCCATGGACCTGGGGATGCTATCACTCCACTCCGACTCGCGACAAAAATACTATCTGGGGTCCTCATCCGGCCTCTTCTTCACGAAGTTGATAGGGGCGGATAGCCCTCTCTCCCCAGCTACTTCCACCTCGTCGTATGGCACGCGGGGGAATTCGAAACGCCGTACTGTCCCAGGTCCTTCGCCTGAGGCGTATCGTGTGTTGTACAACAAACTTAGAAGGGTACGCATACAATCTCGTCCCACCTATTCTTTATAGAGGAAAGGACGACATTCCCATTGTTCCTGACTGGTTGTTCCTGACTTGGGCCATTCTCGCTGCACATCATAGGCGCTCGCTGACCATTCGCAGGACTTACCTTCGCCCGACGAAGCCAACCATCTGATTGGTATATATCTTCAGGAGCTCCATGTCGATCACCCTTTCCTCCACGCCACCTCTCTATTTAATGCCTACAACGCACTCTGGTTCTGCGCCGAACGTGGATACCAAGGAAATGTGGACCTCAACGGATGGCCGGAGGAGATGGAGCCCTTCTCGTACAACGGGCGCTTCGACAAGGTGGCTGACGACGACACAACGCCCATCGCCATCTTCGCCGCCGCGCTGCACGTGTTCATGGTGCTCTCCCTTGCGGCGACGATCCTCACGCGGAACAAGAATTTCGAGTACCCGCCCGCCCGGTTCTACGCCATCGCCTCCACGGCCGCAGCCGAGTGCCTGAGCGGCATTTCCGTGACGGCCCTGCAGAGCATCCTCCTGTTCATCGTGCAGGGGATGGTGGGGCCCACCAATCTGAGCATCTGGACTTTAGTGCATATCGCCATGTCGCATGCGATCGATCTCGGGCTGCATCGGGAGCCGAAAGACGATGCGGACAATTCGCCCACTGCCCTTGCTTTACGACGGCTGATCTTCTACACCGTCTACAACCTCGACCGGTGCGTTGTTGCACTGACCGATCCGCCATTCGTCTCTCTCCCCCGACTAACCGACTCGCAGATCTATCTCCACAATCCAGGGCCGACCGCTTGGCATCCGCGACGAGACCTTCGACATCCGCCTGCCCGGCCTCAACGAATTCGTCGTCGACGAAACCGCCAGCGCCAACGTCAACAGCCACTCGGAGCTGCGCTTCTCCATCCACCGCTTCAAGCTGGACGCATTGATCTCGGAGATCAAGATCCTGCTCTACCACCTCCCCAACCGCGGCAATGGCCTTTCATGGCCGACCGACACAGCCGGGGAACAAGCGCGCATCAAGACGGGACTCGACCAGTGGCTCGCGGACGTGCGCGCGACCCGCGCCCCCTCGGAGGAAACCACCACCGCCCACGACGAGGACCACGCCTTCAAGCACCAGTGCAAGATCCTGAAGCTCGAGGTTCTGTACCACGGGGCGATCACGCTGCTGTACCAGCCGTCGCAGGCGTGCCCCGCGCCCACCCCGACCGCCCTCCTGCACTGCTACCGCAGCTCCCGCGACCGCATCCACATCTACAACCGCCTCAACACGCAGGAGCACCTCTACTTCACGTGGCGCAACATCCACGGGATCTTCGCGTCGGGCGCGACCATCATCTACTGCTTCTGGGCCTCCCCGGAGCTGCAGGCCGTCGTGCCCTTCAAGGAGGCCCTGCAGTGCCTGCGCGGGTGCTCCAACCTCCTCAGCATCGGCGGCCAGTGGTGGCCCTCGGTGCGCCACGGCAAGGAGAACTTCGACCGCATCGTCGACCTCACCGTCGAGCGGTTGAGCCAGAAGCACCACCAGCAGCTGCAGCTGCAGCATCAGTTAAATGCGACCGGGGGGAATGCGCTGCTGGACCCCACCGCCAGCGCAGTCGACGGCGGCCCGTTCCAGCCGCCTTCCCCGCCGGTGCCGACCGATGGGGATACCACCACCAACACGCAGCAACAACAACAAGAGGCGGTGGAGAATCTGCTCGGGATGGCGTCGGTCGCGTGCGATTCGGGACTCGTCGACCAGGATTTGGAGATTGCGGCGCAGCATGATCCCATCATGGAGAGCTTTTTCACCGAGTACCTGCAGGGCGACTGGAGCTGGGATCCGTTTTCGACGGGGTTGGAGCCGCTGTCTGACGCCGGTCGGATATTGGACTCAGCTCTACCCTAATTGCCCTCTCCATCGACCCGGCGGGCTCCGATCACATCACACCACTCGACAGTCTTGTAAATGATGATAATGGTAGCCGGGCAGGGGGTGGGGGTTGGGGGCTGGAACCAAGACTGGTCTGGCTTGCAGAAGGAAAAAGCCCTGGCCAGTCGGACTCCAGGCTCTCTCCAACCATTGCGCCTCTTCCGTTATGGCACGAGAGCGACCGGGGGAAGAGCCTGCAGGGCCGGGAGTTGTGAGCTTGCCCGGTAGAAGCTCGGCCTTGGCTCAGGCCAGATCGTGCAAGCCACCAAGGGATTTGCTCCACCGGGGTGGGGTAGCAGCAGGGCAGGCGGCACTTGGAAGTTCGAACCCATGCAAATGAGCTCACCTTCCTACACGTACACGATCGCACGGATTCGGTCGATACACTATGCACCTAGCTACCATCCCGAATAATCGACAGGGTTCAAGCAACAACCAACAACTAACTTACTAGATAGATAACCAACCGGTTTGACCGGTCGGGCCCCCCCCACCCCCCCCGAGACGGGGTAGGTCTAAGAGCGAACTAGATAGGAAAGCCTCGGGTCTAGACTCGGTACTCCGTACACTGACTGAATCGAATCAATGAATCAAGCACGGAAATTCCTGTGCCCAGTACTCAGTATCAATCCCCTGCATACGATCAGTCGATAATAGAAAAACAAGATTTTCCTCCCCAGTAGTGTCGACGGTACTGTACGTATCAGCGGGGGAAAGGATTTGCAATGCACCCTGTCAAAGTGCCGTGCCGTGCTGTGGAACGTCACACCAAGTGCCACCGGCGAGAAATTCGCCATCGTGCCGTGCCCTTCCAAAAAAAGGATTAGACTACTTGTCATGACATTTCGATTGCGTTGCGTTGCGTTTTTGTTTTGTGTCCGCGCACATTGACCAATGAGGTGGCGTGAGGATAAAGAATCCGATGGGGGTTTGACTAGGAGATACAGTACCTACCTAATGAGCACTGTCTCCCGTTTCAGCCGGGTTTCCCTGTCCGGTGCGGTGCGTGCTGGCGTGATCTTGCTTGTGTGTGCCCGTTAACGGACCCGCATTGGAGAGGGTAGGGGTAATTCCCCACCTAGAGGAATCTGATCCAGTAGCTACGCAGAGTAGCAAAGTATATCTGATCGAATCGACCCGAACTCTTCTTTGAGTGCGCAGGCGAAAGCCGTGCAAAACTCTAGAGGATTCGGTGGGCCGTCAATCCCTTCACCACTTCACCACTTTACCACCAAAAAGTCCGAAAATACAATGCAAGAGTCATTGACCATCAATCAACCTCTCCCGGCTGAATCCATCCGAGAACGAACATCTACTTTTTTTTTTTTTTTTTTTTTCCTAGCTTTGGAAGGGAAGAAGCAGCATGGCCGGAAACGTCGCCCGCCGGGTAAGTTATCCGCAGGCCGCATACCAATGAAAGGAGCGCCTGAGCGCTGAGGCATCCATCAAGATTGCACGGTCGCATTGCGCACTGACTAGAAGCAGTCGATGTCGAGCATTCGGTTTTCCAAGGAACCCCTGCTCCATTGCTTCTCTCCACTCAGTGTATGCAATATGCTTGTAGGTTGACCCGCACTGGAGGGGGGTGGTGGGTGCGTGAGCGGACGGGTTGCAATCCGCGAGGAAGAGAAGAGGCTGATCCTATCTCCACTTTACGCAGTAAGGTACTCTCCAGTTACAGATAGATACACTCCTCTGTACTTAGTATGCGTGTATACGTAGGAGGCGGTGGGATGCAGCCTCACTAACGGGCCGATCTCCAGGGGGGGGTGGTGCGGGATGACTTTATCCAATTGGGGACGGCGATTGCTGTCCTGTACTCGCGTGCTTTTGCTCTTTCATCATGGAATTTTTGGCGACCCTGATGCTCACTGAGTCATTTTGATCCTCGAAGGTCGTGGCTCTGGTCTTGGTCGAGAAGGGAGGGGAGGGGACGGGAACGGGATCCCGCGAAAAAGTCAGTGGGAAGAAGCCGTGGATCGGATGAGTAGGGCGAGGAGATGCGAGTTGTAGCAACAACGTGCGTACGATGCGACCTGAAGGCTTCGTTGAAGGTTGACTTCCTGAGGTACGGTACTGTACGAAGTACAGTACAAAGCATAAGTAGTAGTACTAGGTAAGGTACAAAATGACGGCAGTAGATGATTGGGATATTCGGCCATGTGAAGCAGTCTGATTGGCGGAACAAAATCCCTGGGTTCGAAGCGGAAGCGATCGGCAGATTAGTCATCGAGTCGGTTGCATCAAAGAACAATAGGAAAGGGTAAGAATAGAAAGAATGGAAGCAGAGTGAGAGTCAATAGGTAGGTTGGTAGCCATGGATACTATCAGAGACAGTAGGACAAGGGTATCTCGGCAGAGTATACAGTACGCTTCTAGACAATTCGTTGCATCTGAACCCGGTACAGTTGGTCGGATGAGGCGGGAAGTACTGGAGTAAGCAGATCGACTGGAGACGTCATTTTCCAAATCCAAAACCAAATCCCTCTCTCCCTCCCCGCGATCCAAGATATCAAGCTCAATGGATTTTCGCTGGAGATGGATACCACCTGGATCCATCGGGTCCAGCCCACCGGAACATTGGCGCATCCAATCATGTCCTCTGGATACATCCTCCTGCCCCCTGTCAACGTTCTTCCCATCGTTCCTTGAACTGCATTGAAGCAAAATCTCTCGCGCTCTGCTGTGAGAGCCGATCAACTGCCTATTCAAAACCCCTGAGGCCTCTCCCCGGAAATATCCTCCAGTTCTTTCGACTGTCTCAACCCTTTTTCTTTTCTCTTTTCACCTTAGTGTCAAAACTAGTTGGCCCGCATGCATCGTCATTGCCGGGTCCTCAGATGGGGGAGTGTGCTTGGTTTCTCATAAAGATGTGTAATACTCCACCCCCCCTAACAACATACTACCTACTAGCTACTATACCTTTGAGATACCTTCCTGCTGTCCTACCTACCTTCCATTGGACTTACCCTACTGCATACTGACTACTGGTGATCACGGAAGAACCCCGCTGTCACTGTCCCATATAGTTACACAAATTCTGTCACTTCCCTGAGATTGTCTACCCCGTCCCTTCCGGTTGCGCGTTTCCTCAACCTGAACACCCTTCCATAAGACCAAAACGTCCCAACCCCGAGTTGAATCGCGCACCGCACCACCTTTCTGTGAAAGAAAAGCATACAGTGATGTCCGTCGATCTCGACCACGCCTCCATGCCAGGGGCGCCTACCAAGTCCGAAATTACCTGGACGGGCCCAATGCCGTTCTTCCTGGACAGCACCATCTCCTCCGAGTTCCTGACGATGCCATTGTTCGACGGGCTGCAAGAATGGTCGATGAGCGGGAGCAGCCCGGGTGCTGCAGCCGCCGCCGCATCGGGGCGGTTCGACGGGTTCCAACAGCAACCGCACCAACAACAGAAGCAGGCGCATCCATCCCCACCACCACCACCGCAGCAACAAGCCTTCATGAATGCGTACATTGAACCGAACCTCTTCTCACCCGACCAACCCATGCCTCCCCACGTCCACCAACACCAACCGCACCTTGCCCCGAAAGAACCCCTCCTCGACCCCACCATGCACCCCTTCGCCGCCAGCCCCACATCCTCTTACCCCATCCCAATGCACGAGATTACCTCCCGCGGGAGTATCAGCGACCAATCGCACCGCAGCAGCTACGGTAGCATCAGCAGCAGCAGCAGCAGCAGCAGCAGCAGCACGACAGGCTACAACGCGGTGGAGCAGCAGAAGCGTGAGCGGTTCCTCGAGCGCAACCGCGTGGCGGCCAATAAGTGCCGGCGCAAGAAGAAGGAGCACACGCGCCAGCTGGAGAGCCGGTGCATGGAGGTGACGCAGGCCAACTCGCAGCTAGAGTCGGAGGTCAGCCAGCTGCGCAGCCAGATCCTGGAGCTGAAGAACGAGCTCCTGCGCCACTCCGGCTGCGACGACCCGGCTATCAAGGCCCATTTGGCGCGGATGGTGGCCCACCTCTCGCAGCGGAGTGCCTCGGTCTCGGGCGCCAGCGAGGCCTCGGCCAAAGAGGACGGTGGCCCGCGGGGTCGGTCCTCGCGGTCCACGCCGCTGTCTCCGGCGCATCAGAGCGATGCGAAACAGGAGGTCGAGCCGGAGGCGGCGTTTGGGTTCGATGATATGCTTCACCTGGGCGATTCGAAGGCAGATGAGCAGGAGGAGGAGGAGGAAGTGAGGATGCAGGATAGTCCGTGATCGTATCCGACCATGCGGACGACTACACTTGTACACGACTGTCTTACGATTTTTCTTCGGGATATATGGGCTTGGTCTTCTGCTTTTTGTCCGCTTACTTGCCTTGTTCGATTTTCGACATTGAGTTGTGCGTCTGGATGTACACCAATGCGCTGTCCTGCGACGCGGGCAGTCTTATGGATGGGGATGGGGCGTACCGGCTAAGTTCATGGGACAAAGGAGGCGGCTTCACTCATTGCATTTTGTAAACCAAGCCAGCGTCAGCGGATTGATTCATTGTTTTTTTTTTCGGCTGTCAAAAAGAACCCTGGATGATATGAAACACCAAAATTACTAGTACAAGAAATAACACAACAATTTCCAATCGGACCAATGTTTTCAATCTAACGAACTTGGGAGGAGGGAATCTCCCCTCGAACGCCTCCATCGCCAGGATCAGCAATTTCCTTTCCCTCACCGCGGGAGAAACGCAATGTTGGGGATGGGATGTCGAGCGCTACCGAAGAATCTCACGGACGGACGGACCACCAAAAAGCGAAAAGCAAGCAGCCATGAATGATGTCACGACTTCGAGCTGACTCGGGACTTTGTCGGGTTGACCCGAACAGGCAAGGTCGCACATAGACTACTGAGTGAGTCCACTGCGCCCCACGCAATGCTTAGTCAAAGCCAACTGGATTCTGTCCTACTCGAGTATGTAAAGCCTTATCCCCACTATAATCTTAGCTGCACACAGATGTGGGCTGCAGCCAAGCATGTTTCAAAACGTCCAAGCTTGCCCTTTTCCCGTCTTGCCGTGTTTCACCCGCACTAGCCCTTCCGATCGATCGCGTCGGAGAATTCTTGGGGCATGGGTGGGGATTCGGGGGGGAGGGTGGTGGGAAAAAGTACGATTTAGGGTCTCGAGGGATTCGCGCGATCGTCGCTGACTAGCCCTGGGACTGGGTGAGGAGGGTTAGTGTGGGTTTTGGGTTGGTGTCTGTGCTTTGACGCACAGGCTGGATATGCTGAGGACGTACGGAGTACGTACTGCGTAACTTTCTGTCGAGATCGTGGAAGCTAAAAATGGCATGCCATCGGGATGTCACTGCTTGGTTGGGCGGTCTCCGATTGGACTTTGTACTGTAAGTACGTGCGTATAGTAGATGGACGAGGTTCCTTGGTGGCGAACGGAGAGTCCACACGAGATCGGTCCGGCCTTCTGGGATCAATTCGACGCTCGCTCCGACTCTCGCAATTCAGATCACTCTGCTCGTTGTTTATGGTGTGTAGTGATGTCCTCACTCAACTCAGCTGCAGACTCTGCTATCCGCAGATCGATAGCTGAAAGGGAAGCATAAGCACTAGATACAGGCGGTACCGTGCCTGCAGGATGAGGGTGGGACTGCTGACGTTTTACGATCTGAAAGCACCGCACGCTGGTCGGTTTTGGTTTTGTACTCGGTCCACCTGGATTTGTTCGTACTATGTAGTATACAGTACATGAGTCCATGAAACCACCGCCATTGGCCATTTGCCCGAGCATTCTGATAACTGGTACCTAGTACCTAACGGACGGTTCCCCGATCCCCGTCAACCGCCATTCCACATCGCACACGGCAGCACAAAAACAATCAAAATCATTGCACGTCATAAGTGTCGCATTTCGTCACGTTCATCATAAGATTTCCCCGGAAACCCCCCAACTGCTCAAAACAGCGTCGGTGGGTGGTGAGGGTGAGAGGCTGCGGCACGGGGGTTCACTGTTTACTCCTCCGGGGTGTCCGCCGTGCGGGAGCCGCCCTTCCGGCCGGCCTCGCGGGCGCGGGGGTCGCCGGGCTCGAAGCTGCCGCCGGAGTGCTGCCCGCCCTTGTGGCCGGCCTCGCGGGCGCGCGGGTCGCCCGGTTGGAAGCTGCCGGAGGACGTGTGGCCGCCCATCGAGGCGATGTTGCGCTATCGTTTTCGAGTTAGTGACGGGATCCCGAGAGTTAAGGAGGGGCGAAGGATCCGGGGCGACGATGGAGCACCCACCTGCTTGTCCTCGTCCATGCTGGCGAACCCGCCGGCGTGGCTGGATTGGCCGCCCTTGCGGGCGATGTTCTGCACTTCCTCGTGGGGGCGGTTGGAGAAGTTGCCGGGGTTGGTGTTGTGAGCCATTTTGATTGTCAACCCGGGTGGTTTAGGTGGAGGGCTTGGTCGCTAGTGTTGATGTAGTTGATGATGATGACATGTCAGACTGGTGGGATTGGCTGACCAGGCCAGGGAGGCCCGGCCGGGGGTATTTATGCTCGGGGATACGGTCGACCAGGCAGAAACTTGATTCCTCATCCGTGTCACTTCAGATTCCAACGTACGTACGATGTATCTCTGCGAGGTGTTGATACGAGGCGATGATGCGGTGGTTGAGGGGAAAGTACGGATGTGAAGTCATGCTCGACATCATCTTGGCGGGGTTTCCAGGCGATCGGCCTTTCCAGAAGAAAGGAGTACAGTGAAACCCCGCATTTCTGCTGGCTATCGATTGCCAGAGACTGGCCGGCAGATTGGGGCCATGGTCGGGGCCATGTTCGGGGATGTTCGACGGTCCCTGCCCTGCTGAGATGCGGTCATCATGATGATTCGGTGCCGGGAGCTTGGGGAGATTGAGTTTCGAGGGATTTGCGCTGCGGAGGTGGAGGTGTTAGGGTGGGAGCTGCCGGGGAAGAGGGATTAGGGCTAGGTCACGAGTGAAGGTGTGGAGTGACCCTACTTCATTATGACGGCAGTGGGGCGCTCTCGTGGACCCAGATCTACACCTCGAATTTGATAGATCATTCGATCGACATCCAAGGCTTGTGTCGTGCAGGGTTGGGGCTTTCTCGATTCGACATAACATGGATGCCAGGGTTGGCAGAGTTCCGGAGTAAGGCAACACATCTGCTGCTGCCGTGCCTTGCGTGTGAGCGAGTCATGTAAACTCAGGTTCCAAACAATGGATTGGCGAGAGCTAAAGCACGGGGTATCATGTAGGCTAACATAGGAATGATATCCATTCTTTGATGGGGAGAGACCATCTTTTGAAAAGCTCTTCATTCGAGACCAGTATCTACATTGTAGCCATTGTGGCCATCCTGTACATTACGTCCATCGTCTCACGTGTCTAAGAATGCAGAAAAGTAATCCTCCAGATCAGTCACGTCCTCCATAGCCCCAATCCAACCAACATGCTGGTCCGGTCGACAAAGTACAACGCACCCAGCATTCTTGTCAATCCCATAGCCGTCGTATGCACCACGACACCCGGGACCATATGAGCCCTCGTCCGTGAATACTCTCATGTAGTCCCATCCCCACGTGTCGTCATACGGGTGGAAGATTTCAGGAAGTTCAAGCAACTCGACCGATGTGCGTGGGCTTGCATGCACGAGGATCGTCTCCAGAAGCCACCCGGCACGGGTTCCGTACCGCTTCTCACACATGCGTGCAAACAACGGCTGCTGGTTGAACGCCTCAACAAATGAATTCAGACGCACACGAGCGTCTGCTTGACGAATGTCCCCGGCAAAGACCAATAGTCTCCACGACCCATCGCTTGGAAGCCTGGTCATCAGGTTGATCGATGCACCTTCGGCATGGTTGACCACATAGAACGGATCCAAGCGTCTTCCTACTTTGATGTCCTTTGCCAAACCCTGTGTAGTCTGGTCTGAAATGAGAAGATCAGGACCGTAGGTCACCCCTAGACCCGATATGAACTCGGAGTACTGGTCCCGAACCGATTCAACCCCCTTGGCCGCGCCGGTGCTTTTCTCATACGCCCCGACCAGCTGCGCATCCAGCTCCAACAATTCCCCTGCCACCGGTCGTCTTTCAGACTCGTAGGTCTCCAGTATCCTTGGGCTCGCAGCTCCGGTTATGACCGCACCTAACTTCCAAACCAGGTTGTATGTATCCTGCATCGACACATTCATCCCTTGACCTGCCTTTGGGGAGTGAGTGTGGGCAGCATCGCCAGCCAGAAATATTCTTATCATGGTCAGTGGAACGTCTTGTATGAGCCCAAGTCCAGGCGTACGTTACCTGTCGTGGGGCCGGAGTTGCTTGACGAGCTGCTGTTTTATCTTTGCTCTGCTGTCAGAGTGATGAGAAGGAGGGCTCGGGGTGTGATGTGCATACTGAGTATAAAGAGTACCAATCACAGTGTTTGTACTCCAACTTGTACGGTTTCATCAGGCTATCCGCCGTCCTAACCAGCGCATCAAGCGCTGGCTCATGCTTTGTATCGTGGCCATTGCAGAGCTCCTTGTCGCCCTTGGGATGGATGTAGAACCGAACTAGCCGGTTCTCTCTGGGTGCGGTCATCATACTCCCACGGTCGCCGGAGCTGATCGCACACGACTGCCGAATGTCCGCTGTGTGATGTCTTAGCACGAATCAAGATGCAAAGTCTTGGCCTTCACCATGCACGTACGAAAATCCGTAATAGGGGCAATGTCAAACACCGCCCAGGTCGACTCCCCCAGACTCTTATCGACTGGGACCTGCAACTGGTTCCGAGTCCAGCCACGTGCACCGTCACATGCAATCAGATAGCGACATTGAATCGTATCCGAGCCATCGGTCGTGTCTGGATAGTGTAAGCCACGTTCCAATGCGCGATAGATAAGGTCCCTCCCCGAGAAAAGCTTACCCTGCGCCTCACCCGACACGACCCCAACGGCCACTTTGTGATCCGTCTCGGATTTAGACTCCGATAGTGCCAGCTCCCGTGCTCGAGTTCCGTATTCGACCTGCATCCCCATCTCGTGGAGATAGTCGAGGAAGACCTGCTCCGTAGCGCCCTGGTTCAGCAGCCTTTGATCATACACGGAGCTCCCGGGCAACGACGGGGTTCGTTTGCGCCGCTCAATGTGCCCTGTGCTCTCATTCATCGCCTACATCCTCTTGATCAGCCTCCCGCAGCCCAACTCTAGATGGTGCGACAGTCCTCACCCAGTACGCCATCTCCGTATGCCGCACCGACTTCCGCAGGATGGGATCAACGATGCCAAAGCTGTCCAGAATCTCCAGCGTGCGACTCTGCAGCCCGTCCGCGTGACCCGTGGGCGTCCGCCCGGGCTTCTGGTCGATGATCCGCGTCTGCATCTGGAACTGCGCCGCCCAGCAGGCTGCCATCAGCCCGGCCGGGCCGGCGCCGATAATCAGCAGATCGGTGTACGATTCGTTTCCCATTGTTGCATTTTGGTGGTGTCGCTCTGCCTCTGGCTGCTTTCATGAGCTTTATGCGTCCAGTAGCTGTCGTGTGCGCATTGCATCACCGGTTAAGTGGTACGGTTGCGTATGAGGAGATAAACCCGGTTTCAGTTAACTTTTCTGTTTTCCCGGGGGGGCGCGGGGGAGATGTTGTCCATACCACATGTCGACGTCATTGCATCACAACCCAACCCAAGACAACTTCCTTCCTTTCTGTGTCTATGAAGAATGGCGTCGATATAGAATGTGGGTTGGGCCATACTCTCTATCCTCACTTCAGAGGGTGATTTTCGTGTCCCATGCTCTGGTGAATGTGCACGTCTGTATAATTAGGTAATCTTCCCCATAAGGCATAACTTATCTAGGAGCACCCACATTGGGAAAGTGTTTGGCCGCCAATTTCCAGAATGGACCTCTGTGATTATGATTCCAGTGTCGTGGATTCACTTTATATCTAACTATTCATCAGGATGAGTGGATGAATGGCCCATCAACCTTATTGTTACCGTCTGAGGCATAGAAACTCATCAACGCACCGAGGAATGGAGAGCTCAGATCAAGCTACCAGCCAATGACAAAGTAGAAGCGGCTGATTATCAAGCAAGCTGGACCTGCCATTACAACAAGCCTATGCTACATGGACTATAAGAGTATCTGAGGTTGAATTGCCCTCTGAGCCACTGCATAAACATTGACAGTATACTATAACTACATCAATCCTGTCACTCTGCTTCCTACAGTTCGGTAGTAGTACAGATAACTGCGTCCTGCGTCTAGTATAGAAGATTATATCCCTCTTCAATAATGTCTCGCTTCCTTCTTGACAGTTTGATCCACATGGCTTGCACGTTGCCACGTCTCGGACGTTCGACAATAGTGATCTACCCAGAGATAAGGTTAGGTATTCGGGGAAATATCCCAACGCTAGGAAGTAGACCAGTATGCTGGGCACCCTATGGGTTTCACTGGCAGCATTTGATGAATGAGTCGTTCATTCGTGCTCAAATCGCGTAGAAGAGGCAGTTGTAAAATTCTGTGAGCAATTCGTACTGGTACTGTCGAATCTGCACGTATTTATTTGTTGTCTCGCTCACACCACGGAGACGACAGCATCAGAGATCTCCGCGCAATCCATAAATCCCTTCTATCTTAACTCCCCTTGTGAGCAGCACCATGCGATTCCTATACCCCCACCAGCCGCGACCAGAAATTGTGCACCTACACCTCCACATACGGTAACGACTCATAGCTAACCTCCGACCCGGGCGTCCTCGCCGCCGTGATGGTGAAGTTATTCAGCAGCTGCAGACGGAAGCTCGTCTCGGCCACGACAAAATAGTACTGCAGCAAACAACCGACACAAATCCAAAGACCGTTAGCTATCCGCGAAGCATCAACCCCCTTCCTCCTGACGTGGGACAGGAACGATCACATACCAGCCATTTCCGGCGATAGGCCTCGACCTCGAAATCGGTACACTGGCGATTTTCGGCGCGGAAATCCGTCTCGATCGCGCCCCAGTTCCGGAAGAAATTGCGGCGCCACACCTCCAGGGATCGCGCGTAGTGCGAGCCGGCGCTTTCGGCTGAGGTGATCTCCAGCGTCTTGCCGGAGCCTTGGTGGATGTGATCGAGCAGCATGCCGGTGGTGGGGAGGTAGCCACCCGGGAAGATGTATTTGAGCATGAAGAGGTCGGTGCGCGCTTGCAGGCTGTGGATCTAGATTTTTGCAATCATCCATGGGTATTAGGTCGCTGAACTTTCGGCCGGTTGCTGCGGATGTATAGGAGTATCGTGGATGTGGGGGCAACCTTACCCGATTGATCGCCGTGATCCCATCCAACACCAGGATCCCCTCCCTGGGATGCAGCAGCCGCGAGATGGTCGCAAAGTATTCCGCCAAGTATTCGCGGCCGACGTGCTCGAACATGCCCACCGAGATGACGCGGTCGTAGTACCCGGTGGCGGCGGGCGGCCGCACGTTGCGGTAGTCGCAGAGCAGGATCTCGATGCGATCGGCCAGCCCGGCGGCTTGGATGCGGTCGTCGGCCCAGCGCTTCTGCTCCTTGGAGAGGGTGACGGCCGTGACGCGGCAGTGGTACGTCTGCGCGGCCTGGATGGCGAGGTCGCCCCAGCCGCAGCCGATGTCGAGGATGTGATGCGCGGGGGCGATCTTGGCCTTGCACAGGAGGGCGTGCACTTTGCGGCGCTGGGCGGCTACCAGGGCTTCGGTCGGGTCGGCGGACCAGTGGGCGCACGAGTAGTTCATGTCCGGCGACAGGAAGTTGGAGAACAGCACGTTCGAGGTGACGTAGTGGGCGGAGATGTTGATCTGGGCCTGCTCGACGTCGTTGCTGCGCTGCAGGAGCTGCGCGGCGCCGGTGGCCACTTGGTGCAGCCAGCTGCGCCGGAAGCCCCCGCGGTGTTGGGAGAGGAGCTATGCCCTAATCAGCTGTGCATTTACACACATTGACCATATCTTTGCGTCCGCTAACACACCGTGAAGAGCTTAAGCAATTGCTCTACCTCACAATCGATATCCTGCAGCATGTATGACTCCGCGAACCCCTATATCTGCCATTAGTCGAGGCCCGACTGTCCCAAGCAATTCAACTCTCACCAGATCCGCGCCAGCGAGAAGCCGGCTCCAGAACGTCGGCCGTTTGGCAATCACCAACACCTCCCTCTTTGACCCTGCATCAGGACCGCCTAGATAGGTCAATGGCTCGTCTTCTGCATACTGCAGCGCGTACTGCACCCGATCTCCGAGTTTCTGCTTCGTCGTCTCCACCACGCGGGCTTGCATCAACTGCTGGATCATAGACGTTGCATAGGCGGCCATGGTGGCTTGGTGAGATGGATTATCGACCCGCGCCTGAATAACAACTAGTTCGTCGGGATTGGCTCTCGACCGGTTGTCTTCAAGCAGAGTTCTAAATCCACGGGCGACCGGAGAGTTATATCACCAACCATTTCGGTCTCCCGTGCCGTGGTCTCTCTCATGTCGAAATGTTGATCGGTGATTGATCACATCACAGGCCTTTCCCGAAGGCTCGCCAACCCCACAGCCTGGCAGGAGACATTCGACCAACACATGTGCGGAGGGGACCCTTACTATTCAGATTCACTGCATATGGATTTCCCTGTCCCGCTATCTGATTCGTCATGTCGTTTCCCAATTTGTAACCACTATACCTTACAGGATAATCAGAGGGGGCTGTAGATCCTCAATGCCGGCATCGGATCCATACGGGAGAGGTTTTATAAGGGTCTTCAGGTATCCCGCTTTGGGATACACTACTGCAGGCAAGGGTAAGACGTATCCAAATATCTTATCCGTTTCGTCCGTGCATATTCGATGCGGAGATGAAGAGGAATAATGCGGAAGGTCCACACAGAACTGACTCAGGTCTGGATTGCCACACACCTATCAGCCGGATCACTTATGCAATGAGCATATCACCGCTCAGGACGGATCCCAGCTTTGTGTGTCAGCACGACTTCGGTGCTTTTCGAAATGGGTTCCGGTGCCACTGCAAGTTAGAATGGATTTGCAAGGGATGCGACTGCAAGCCTGGCCTATTCACTTTCTTGGCTGTTGAAACTTGGAGTTGTGGCTGGGCTGGGCGGATCCTAGTGCACGGCGTCAATAAGCTCCATTCTGACAGACCAAGGGGGACAGGTCCCTCGAGCTTCGATTGATTCCGCAGGACTTCGGCAGATGATCCTTTTTCTCTAGGATATAGCATTCGTGACAAGGGACATCAATGTCGAATACGTTTGGCATGTCAAGACACCTTCCTGTTGATTCTTTTATGTCAATCAATCAGACCACTTCATTAGGACCCATTCCCTGGCTGTTCATTCTCGAGTACGGCCACCCGCATACAGGCCAGAATATTCCTTGCCACCTTCGAGTGCCTATAAATGCCCGCATGGAACGCCATCGTGGCATCTTTCCCAACCCAGGCCTGAATCAAATGCTCTCCCCCGAGATGCTCCGCCATGAACGCGCCGACATCATGCACCACCCCATCAACGGCCACCAAAAACCGGCCCTTTTCAACCATACCCCGATACTCGGCCCAGTCCACCCGCAGCAACTTCTCCACCGGCACAGCCTGCGGGAGGGCCTCCATCCGCCGGGTGAGCGCCTTCTGCATCTCTTGCAGCCTCGCCCTCTCAATCTCGCCGTCGCCCGCCCGGCGCAGCCAAATCGGCCAGTCCCAGCACCGCCCACCCCGCGATCGCCCACTTGGTGCAGTCGTAATGATACCAGCGGACCCCATTGCGGTAATCCGACGGAAAATTATGGTGGAAGTTATGATACCCCTCGCCCAGCGTCAGCACCGCGGCCAGGAAACTGTCGCGCGGGGTGACCTGGTCATCGTAGGGCCGGTCCCCGAGGTAGTGCGCCAGTGAGTTGATGCAGAAGGTGCTGTGGTGGACGAGGACCATCTTGATGATGCCCCCGTACAGTAGCCCGCCCATCCAATCCCGGAACAAGACCCCGCCCACCACCGTCGGGAACCCCCAGCCCATCAGTACGGCCAGCAATGCGTAGTACCGACTCTGCCAGACGGCGACCGCGTCGGCGTCGAGGTCGGAGAGGTCGATGTGGCGCCGTGTGCGCTGGGTTTTCCCGGGCGGTTGTGCTTGCGGCTTCGCCAGCACCATCCATCCGAGGTGGGCGTGGAACAGCCCCCGTCGGATGCTGTAGGGGTCCTCGTCCGTGTCGGTGTAGCGGTGGTGGGCGCGGTGCTCGCGCGCCCACCACCTGATCGGGCCCTCCAGGGCCGCGGCGCCGAAGATGGCGAGGTAGAGTCGCAGCACGAAAGACGCACGGTAGGCGCGATGGCTCCACAGGCGGTGGTACCCTTTTGTTGGTGGTTGCCGTGGTTAGGCAGGCTGAAAGTGAGATCCTTTCTCCTTCCCGCGGTGCTTCTCAGAGGGCGAGGTGGCCGGTAGATCCATTTGTATCTTGATGCGCGGACATACCTGCAGTAATACACAGCCCCGTATGGAAGCCATAGCCGATCATCAACCAGAACACTTCCTTGCTCAATGGCACCCATGGCACCAGGCAGACTGCGCAAATGGGCAGAATGATCAGGGTTGTGGGAATCCACCGGATTTTCCGATGCCAGGACACCTCCAGCAGTGACATTCCCAGGTTTTGAGTTGGGTGTTCTGCGGCGGAGGAAGTTTCGCGGTGGTCAACTGTGTTTTAGAGGATGAGTTAGGAGTCATAAGATCTCGTTACAAATCATCACACATCCCTGTTGCTGGAACACTTCTCGCTGATATCGGAATCCGCTGTCAAGAGATCAAAGATATAAGCTTCAATGTACGGAATAAGATGCCGATCTCACCAAGTTTCTGATTTTCCTTGCTTTTGGCACTACTGCCATATTTGACTTTTCTTTCCTGCCCTATTGTCCTCAAATCTTTATTATCTGGTTGATATGTCGGCCTTGGCCGCGGGCTTCTGCCACCAGTCACATTCCGCACCAAGCCCGCCGCGCGCGCCCCTTGCATGTCGGACCTGTCATTTCTGTTACCATCAGACGTGAATCTTGCTTCTGAGCACCAATCTAGCAGGGGCCCTGCTGACGGATGAAGAGTCCTGCTCCTGTCAACTCGCACGGATCATCCTCCTGGTCCTTTCATCATGTAAGGGTGATTCCAGGGATGAGAAGTTCTCAGCATGTGCGAAGGCAACTGGCGACGGAGGGACCGATCAGCAGTATACAACGAGCAATTTACTCTTACTCGAATCCAACATTTTTCAGCGCGGCACCGGAGGCACGGTATATCTCCTCTTATTGATACAGGCAGCCCACTGGAAACCCCAGAAGGAAGCTCAAGAAACCCCATCCTTGTGCGGAACCTTCTTTTTGAGTGGCTCCCCACCCCCCTCATTCAGCTCCTCAAATGCATTGTCCTGGCCTTCCTGTGGCTGCGACTCGGGGTAGTTTGGCTGAAAACGCGGGGTCATCGAACAATGGCTGCCCGGTAGACATATTAGAACCTCATCCTTCTTGCTTTTCTTCTTCCCCATTTCACCGGCTGACTGTCTCGTCGAGATAGGTATCCTGTGGAAGTGACCGGAAAAGGAAAAAGAAGAGGTAGCAGTAGTTATTTGAACCAAGCTCGGTAACAACACCTGGAAGCAATCAGATCCAGTCCAATCGGACCCCAGGGTCACGCAGGTGAGCCGACGCTTGGGAAATCCAGCTCCCAGGGCTGCGGTTATCCCTCACCGTCGGCTGCAGGCCCGTCTGGCGGACGACCTCAGCATCCATCGCCGACGCACCATTCCACAATTCGTCACTGTCCGGAATGCAAAAGTCCAAGTCCGCGAGTGTCAGAAGCCCACCCGCGCCACCGTCCATATTCGCTGGACTAGTGGAGGTGCCGCCGGTGCTACATAACCGGCACAGCTTGTACAAAGCCAAACTAAACCGCTTGGTCTCTTCCACGCCCACCCAGACGAGCGCCACCGGGGCAGTCGGATGATGCCGGGCGAGCATGTTCGGGTACGAGAACAGGTCCAGTCGGCGGCCGGTGGCCACCAGCGCCGTGAGCAGCTCGTAGGTCGGTTCGGGGAGCCGGAAACGAAAGTTCAGGTCCAGTTCGACCTCCGGCTTGGCCGTGAGCACGGCGAAGATCAGTTGCAGAAGGATACTCTGGTAGGTCGCCATGGGCCACGGTCTGCTGTCGGCACGATGTCCCATCGACTCGGGCACATACCATTGATCCTGTGCGAGGCTAGGTTAGCCTTCCGACTCGACTGACCTTGGAGGCTGGGGATGTGCTCCATGCTCACCTTTTGAGCTCTGATCGCCGACAGTAGCCGGTCGTGGAACAGCATCGCCGTGTGCCGCGCCTCCCGGTCCCCCTTGATCCACAGCCCTATCATCAGCATGGATTGGATGAGGATGCATGGCTCTTGGGAAGGATCGAAGGTGGTTCGATGGAGGAAGGGCCAGATGGGATGGAACTTGGTGAAGTAGATGTCGATATACTCGTGGCCGATCCACCGGGACGCGTCGGCGACGGACGCCACAAGATCGGCGCCGAAAAGCCCCCCGGTTCCCAGGACGTTTTCTCGGTCCTCCTCCGGAGCGACATCCACATGGGGATTACGTGAGCAGTGCACTCCTCGTCGTGCACAGCGAGCACAGGGAGTTCCGCCATCACAGCGTTCCTTGCGCGCATGGCAGTTGCTGCAGGCCTTGGGGGTCCGGGCCGAGGGGGGCTGCCGGTCAGGATGGTAGATCCGGACATGGCGGCGGAGGAGATCACTGGATGAGCTGTCAATAGGGCTCTCTGGTACAACAGACTGGGCAGTGGGGACATTCCTTCTGGCTAGGGTGCTGCTACAATGTGGGCAGCAGAAGCGATGGGCCCGGTCGTGGCGTGCCAGATGCCTGTTCAGGTGCTCTTTGCGCTGGTAGGTCGCGCGGCAGCCTGGATGGACACATGGAAATTGGGACTTGGCTGATCGAGCAGCGGATTGAGATGGCATTGTTTGATCTTTCAGAGAGGTCCCACAGGCTTCAGCTTTGGGTGGATAGGTGGATAGTGGGATGGAAGTTGCTGGCAGTGGCAAAGATTCTCTCTCCCCCTCCCCCTTTCGAGGCGGGATTGACTAAGCTCTGCCAGTTGGCCGGCATCCCACTCGGTCCCATCCCACCCGTCCGATCTATATGAATATATGCAACCCGTCGGGAGGAACGTATAAATTTCAGCCAGACTGTGTGTGTTCAGTTCGGCTTCCTAGGTTGCTAGTGTGAGTGAGTTTCCAGCACACGCACAGGTTCACTGCAATGGTCGCCACACAAGACCCCGATCCCGAACGCGCGTTGACCGACGGGCCGACGCTGACTCGCAGCTACACTGCCGATGCAGAGGGCTACACGCACCCGAACACTGAGCCCACTATATCCAAGCTACCCAGTCTCACCAACCTCCCGGAGTACGAGGTCGACTGGGAGCCCAATGACTCGGCGAATCCCCGCCTTTGGCCGGTCTGGTACCGAGGTCTAACGGTGGTAACTATGAGCCTGGGCGCGACCGTGGTCAGCCTGTCCAGCACACTATACACATCTGGACTTCCCGGCCTGGAGAAAGAGTTTCACATCTCCAGGATCGTCGGCCTCCTCGGAGTCACGACCTACCTCTGCGGCATGGGGATTGGAACCATCGTGTTTGCGCCGCTGAGCGAGATCATCGGCCGACGACCCGTGTACCTTTTCTCGATGACCCTCTTCCTGCTCCTCATCCTCCCGAGCGCACTGGCCCAGAACATCGAAGCCATCCTAATCAGCCGGTTCTTCGGAGGCTTCTTCGGCAGCGCGATCATGGGCAACTCGCCCGCCTCGGTGAACGACGTGGTCTCTGACGAGCACCGCGCCATGGCGTTCGGCATCTGGTCCATCGGTCCGACGAACGGGCCTGTCTACGGTCCGATTATCGGGGGCTTCGTGTTCGAATACCTGGGGTGGAGGTGGACGAACTGGCTGGTGCTGATTATCGGCGGGGCCGTCCTGGCCCTGATGGCGTGCATCCGCGAGACCTACGCGCCGGTGATCCTGCGCCAGCGCGCCGCCCAGCGGCGCCAGCAGACCGGGGATGCCCGGTGGTGGACACGGTACGATGTCGGGGAGAGTCTCTGCGCGCGACTCCGGACGGGCTTTGGCCGGCCGTTTGTCATGCTGTTCACCGAACCCATTTGGTAAGAGATTGATTGCCCGGCTCAGCTTGTCGTCAACACGTACTGACTGACCTCCGGCATCTCCAGCATCTTCTGGGACATCTACGTCGCGCTCATCTACGGGGTCCTCTACCTCTGCTTCGTCGCCTTCCCCATCGCCTTCCAGACGGAGCGGGGCTGGTCCCCGGGCATTGGGGGTCTGGCCTTCGTGGGCATCGGCGTCGGCGTCCTGATTGTCATCGCGTGCGAGCCGCTCTTCCGCCGGGTCATCAACCTGCATCGCAAGGATCCGGCCACCGGCCTCGTGGCCCCCGAGGCCATGGCCAGCGTGGTCTGCCTGGGGGCCACGCTGCTTGCCGTCGGACAGCTGTGGTTCGCCTGGACGTGCACGCCCAACGTGCACTGGGTCGTGCCCATCCTCTCCGGGGTGCCCTTCGGGGCCGGCAACGCCTGTGTCTTCATCTACGCCAGCAACTACGTCGCCCGCTCGTACGGGATCTACACGGCCTCGGCGCTGGCCGGCAACATGCTCACCCGCAGCATCGTGGGGGCGTGCCTGCCCCTGGCCGGACCGTCCATGTATGCGACGCTCGGGCTGAACTGGGCGAGTACCCTGCTGGGGCTGGTGGAGGCGGCATGCATCTCCATCCCGGTGGTGTTCTACTTCTACGGGCATCGCATCCGGAAGGCCAGTCCGATGATCCAGGAGTTGGAGCGGATGCAGGCCAGAGCGTGATTCTCATCGGAAGAAGTACGTGGTAGTGATAGATATAGGATATTGTTTGGCCCATCTTTTCGAAGAATTGAAAACATATGGATATCAAGTTAGGGGCTCATCTGTATCGCACAGAGCGCTTATTTCATATACTGGCCCTCATGAAGAGTCAAGCCCGATGCTAAACCTCTTTCGGGTCCACATCGGCGCTGGGGTGCACATGCCCTAAATGCAGTTCCCGTAGCCTTTTCTCGCTTGAGCTTCACGAAAAGTCAAACCAAGATCCCGCTTAGATATGGGGTTTCGAGAGGTATTTTCTTTATGTCGAGACGTTCGGGTCCTTGCGACCACTATTCCTACACAGCAGAACAATATACGTGGCAATATACGTGGTGATGCGCGGTACCGACAGTATAGATAGTACTAAATCGTGTGAGTGGTCTATTTCTCGCTCTTGTTTACACTGCTTTGATTACAGCCAGTCCGTACTCCACATAAGCATTCGCATTCCAGCGAAATAGTTATTGGTAATTCGTGGGTTAAGCTTGGTTACCAATGCCATGCGAACAGATGCACCATTTGCCAAGATGACTATCCCGCCGGCCGGCATCCCACTTGCCGGCATTCCACCCATTGACGTCAAGGCTCATTAGTCACTTGGTGCCGATGACAAAACCCTAGGCTGTGAACTTCGGGAACCAAATCCATGCCCCGTAGATCCCGGGCGGGATGCCGGCGTAGTAATGCATCTGGTCGGGCTCGACGTTGACAAATTCGTCATGGATTTCAGCTCAGTATAGAGTTTTGACCTCACGTGTCGCAAGTATAAGTACCTCGATCTGGGCCCTCACTCGACACTACCAGCAAATCCGAGGACTGTACAGTACATCACATCCCACCGGGCAAGGTCCAACTCTCTCTCTTCCACAACAACACCACTATGGCTCCCACCCTGAACGTGACGCACATCGGCACCGCCACCGCCATCCTCGAGATCAACGGCGTCAACTTCCTGACGGACCCGTTCTTCTCCCCGGCCGGCTCGGAGTTCCCCGGCGGCAGCGTGGTCCTGCGCGTCGAAGACGACCCGGCGCTGCGCCTGGACCAGCTCCCCGTGATCGACGCCGTGCTCCTCAGCCACGAGGACCACCCGGACAACCTGGACCCGCTCGGCCGGCAGCTCCTGGACGCGCGCCCGGTGTTCACGACCGTCGACGGGGCGCGCAACCTCGCCCCGCGGCCCGCGGTGCGCGGCATGCCGCCCTGGTCCGCGATCACGACGCGCATCGCCGGCCAGACCTTCACCATCGTCGCGACGCCGACGCTGCACGTTCCCGGCCAGGAGTGCACGGGCTTCCTCGTGACGGCCGAGACGTTCGGCCGCGGGCGCGACAACCTCCCCAACGCCATCTACTTCTCCGGCGACACGGTGTACATCGACGAGCTCGAGCAGATCGCGGACCGGTACCACGTGTGCGCCGCGGTGATGAACCTGGGCAACGCGCACGTGGCGTGGCCCGAGGACCCCCACGGCCCCAAGGTGCAGATCACGATGGGCGGCGAGGAGGGCGCGCGGCTGTTCCGCGCGCTGCGGGCGGATGTGCTCGTGCCGATGCACTACGAGTCCTGGGGTCATTTTACGCAGTTCGGGGAGGAGCTGCGCGCGGTGTTTGAGGCGGAGGGCATCAGTGAGAAGGTGTGCTGGTTGAAGGGCGGGGAGACGGTGGCTGTGCTGTAGGCATTTTTCTCTGGGGAGGGGGGTTTATTCTGTGTTTCGTGGCTAGACAAAATATGTTTGATAGACTTGATGGGGGTAGGGGGAGCATGAGATCTAGTTTTCTCGCTTTGGGGTTTGAATCTCTATGAAACTTGTATGCAAGATACTTGCGGCCACCTCTCGTGTTTCCGCGAGGTTGAGCTCCGCTCTCCCTTTTATCTCTTTCTGTCGCGACAAGTAGTATTGCAGGGCGAACTTCAACTGCAAGGTCCAACCGGTGCCGGTCCGTATCGTCCTTCCAATCAAACTTCGGTAGACATAAGATTGGCGCGTCTTGGTATCAGGGTCTAGATCTCCGCTGCATGGCGGGTCACGCAAAACAACCCCACTGCACGGAGTCAGGGGGTCACGCCTAGCCCTAACCGCTCATCTGACAGGGAGATTAAAGGGTGGGCGATTGTCACAAGGACAACGTGCCGTGTCTTGGTGTCATTTCTGTCGTTATTGCAAGGGTGGAGACCGACCCCACAGTGATCGTAGAACTGCTTATCTCAAGTGCCGGTCCAGATCTTGCCCAGTCATCGATTGTCTTTGATCTTTCGCCTGAGAAATATCTTGTGTGGGATTGTCACTTCAGAGACAGGATTGATTGTAAGTTCCGGAGACCTCTGGATATTCGTCTGAATACAATCTGAATGCTTCGAAAGGAAAAGCGAGAGCTGTTTTGCTTGTCTTCCAGACGGTGGTATTCATGTCGGGAGGAGTCTTGAAAGGTCAGGGCCACCTGATATGTCACCACGGCCATTTCCGCTCGAGAGAAGATTTCTCGCTCTATCTGCCGGGCCAGACCCAGAGTTCGCTAGAGGTATCATCGCAGCCCAAGAATGATCGCGAATAGGGTCATGCACTCCTCGCCAAGTCCAGGCTCCCGCAGGATTTCTCCCTACAAGAGCCACAAATGATGCATACGCTGAAACTGCAAGCAGCATGCAAACCGCCACACCAGCACAGCTCCCCCTTGCACTTTCTTTCTTCCTGTTCACCACCTGATACACCCAGCACCACCGAACCCCCATTCCAACGCCGCACAACCCGCCCATGCATCAGGCGTGTCCAAAACACCTTGACCAGATCCCCAAGAAACCACCCTAACCCCCCCGTCTCCTCAAAACGACACAAACCTCATACCCCGCCACCCCAACCTGCTCCTCCCCCAACTCCTCCGCCACCCAACCCCCCTCCTCAAAACACCCCAGATAGTCCCCCCAATCCGCCCGGGGCCCCAACCACACCACCACCCGCAGCGCACCACCCCCAACCCCCTCCAGATACCTCCTTACCAACCCAGGCTCCCGCGGATACACGAACATCCACGCCGCCGCCCCCGCCGCCCGGGGATGCAGATCCCACGTCCCCTGCACGAGGTTCAGCGCCCACTCGTCGAGGTACCGGTTCACGGCGCCGCGGACCTCGACGCCCTCCACCGGCACGGTGGGGTGGCGCAGCGCGATCAGCGCCTCCAGCAGGCCGGATCCGCTGCCGATCGAGAGGGTGAATCCCGGGTGGGCGGGGAGGAGCTTCCCCAGGTACGTCACCAATGTGCTGGAGAGGGCGAGGCAGCAGGTGGGGAACGGGTGCGGGGTGGGGGATAACTGGGCGGAGATTTGGGGGAGGGACATTTTGGGTGGTTGCACGGTTGCCTGGTCTGGTGTGGTTGTACTTTTGGGGGATGTCGTAGGGGGTTCAAGTTGTTTTGTGTGATTGGGGAGTGGGGGAAGGGGCACTGGGTGAGATGAAGTTGGGGCTTTGTGGGCTTGTGCCCTGATTTTGGTGGCGTTTTCTGGAAAGGATGAGCTGGAAATGGGTTCAGGTTGGAATGTGGTGGCTGGGGATTTGACGTTCTGTGTTGATTAGATGCAGATTCGGTGGTGGCGTGAGTGATTTTGGGGCGGGTCGGGGCCCGGGCCCGGGTTTATCCGGGGTGTGATGCGGGGGTGGGTTGTTTCCACCTTGTTTCCTGGTATTTCCACTGCTGTCTAGGGATTGCAGGGTAGAGCTCCGTGAGGTTCGGTGATGTTGAAAGTGATATTATCACTATTCTAGTCTAATCTCAAGAGAGGATCTGAGTGCTTCTATCTGCGCTCTGTGGATGCCCAGCATTTACCGATGATCACGTGACTCTAACTATTGAATCCCTCTACAATCGGGTTGACAAGGTTTGCTTTCCATGATATCATCCTGTATCACTGCAGGCCGGCAAAGTAAACAGTCATATATGCAATCATCATTGCTCAGCTCTATATATACAATCCTGAATTCCATCGCCTCACGGAATCTCCTCGTACACCCGATCCGTCAACAAGGGCGGCTCCAGGAAGTCCGACGGCACCGTCTCCGGCAGCTGGTGCTTCTCCGCCCATTCCCGGATCTCCTCAAAGTTCCGGCACTGGTGCTTGGTGTTGAAGTCCACGAAGGGCTCCGGGTGCTCGGGATGCACCCAGACCTGGCCGAGGACGCCGACGTCGAGACTGCACATGAGCTCCTGGCGGAGGACGTCAAGGCAGTGCGCTGCTGCTGTCAGTCTAGGTCATCTTGCTCACCGACAAGAGTTCACTTACAGACGTGGTGTCGAACGATGTAATCGTCGTTGGTGAAGGCACCGGTGCCAAGGTTGTGGTAGTAGTCGTAGTTGTAGTACAAGGACTGGCGGAGGAGGTTCTGTTCGGGTTAGCTGCATGGCTGGAACTGGACCGGCGGTGTATCACCAGACATACCAGGCAGTGCAAATGGTGGAAGCCCTCCACGTTGGCGGGATACCCCCCGCCATACTTCTCCCGGATCTTGACTTGGTCCTTCGCCAAGCCGGACTTCTGGGCATCCTCGGCGGGGACCCTGATGGCGCGGACTGAGAGCGGGTCAGCATGCAGACAATTACCGCTGAGAGGGGATAAACACACAGTTGGCACCGAGGGACTCCCAGGCTGCGTCTACTTCAGGGCTTGCATCTTGCCGGAAGATGTTTTGCTTCAACAGGGAGCCGTTGAAGGGTTGTTGGTGGTACTTGAGCCCGACTTGTCCGATGACAGGTGCTGCGATCGCGTTAGCTGGGGACTGGCTCCAAATGTCCACATATGATGCAGACTCTTGAAGAGGAATCTGGCTTGGGTAACTTACAGTATTGTGTCGTCCGCCGCGTGCACGACTTGTCCAAGTCCCTCTGGTTGTGCCCTAGGAAAACCCCCACCAAACACGACAAGACCGCCACAGCAACCACAAACAACACTCGTAACCATCCTCCGAGCAAGGACTTGGAGGAACGGTTGTTCTGCGACCAGTGGGTAGCCTCCTCATCGATGAGGAGCCTCTCCCTGTCGGTTGAGGTGGAGCGTTCGGAGGAAGGCATCTTGTCCTCGAAGGAGTTGGTATCTCTGGAGAGATTCATCGTGAAAACAGCCAACCTCAAGTTTGACGAGAAAACCCACCAACAGGCAGAAACAGAAAAGAATCTTCAGGGAAACGGGAGTAGATGTGAGAAAGGCGATCAGGCGGGATGTTTATTCTTAGTCTTGGACCGGCCAAGTCGAATGGCCTGAGGTGTGGATATGCTCTTCTTGGAGTATCTCCGTGACCCTCCGCTGCTAATAATATCTCATCGTAGACTTTCATCATTTCATGAATAGTGGACTCAATATGTGACTGACGGAGGGGTGACTTGGAAAGTAAGACATGGCCAGTGCAGAGTGCCCCGTCGACGGGAAGGTCGCTCATTTGCTGCAACTGAGACATCCGCCGCTTAGCCGCATGTCTGTCTCATATCCGGTTGTTGCTGTGTTGCTGTGTTGCCCGCCTTACAGCCCAGCCCCAGCTCCGCATTTTTTCTGGGTACTCAGTCCTCCGTACTCCGTACTCAGTACTCAGTAAAGCAGAGCAAAGCAAAGCCCAGAAAGCACATCTGAGACATGACGCAAAGATGCCTTACTTTACTTTCCACTGCCCTCCGAATCCTGCTTCTAGCCTGTTGCATCTTGAGTTTGTTTGTCGACATCATCCACTTCCCCCCCCCGCCGCTTCGGACCATTTCTCTCGTCCGACCGAGGCTTTGCACCCCTCCTCTGCCCTCTCCTCTCTCTCACCTGCAGAGAGGCTCATCTCTCGGCCTGCAGAATAATCTGAGTCAATTCTATATTGGTGCTCCACGGGACAGACTGTGAGGCAAGCAACATGTAACCGGGTCCCCCGATGGATCCCATTTGCTCGCCATCGTCTGGTGATTGGCATAAGCTGGGTTCTTGGCCTCTCTTCACACATCCATGCGATGGTACAATCCGAGACGTGGCCAATCAGTCTGGTCACTGACCTGTGGGTTGCCTTCCCCACGCCGGTCGATAGACTGCAGTCTAGCAGACCTTGTGCTGTGACTGCTTGGGCTGCGGATGTTTCTTTCTCCTGCTGCTAAATCTGGATCATCAAGAGGATGAAAGAAATCTCGCAGACACAGTTATAAATACAGCCTGCCATCCGACCTTTGCCTTGCAGTTCCCCCCAACCACCCATCTGCAGTTGCCCTAGATCTCCTGTCCCTGTCCCTCTCCCCTCTTCCGTCTGAGACGTCCATTCACCATGCATTCTCTCTCCAAGAGCCTTCTGCTCGTCCTGGGCAGCAACATGCTGGGTGTGAGTGCTGCTCCGGTGGCCGAGGCCGCCACCTCGACCGCTACCACTGCTACCACCACCACCACTGCCCCCGCCAACTATGGCAACTATGGCAACTATGGCGATTACGGTGCCTATGGCAACTACCAGAACTACAAGCGTGCTGACGGGGATGATGCTGCTGCTGCTTCCTCTTCGACCTCCTCGGCCGCCTCGACCACCACTGCCCCGGCCAACTACGGCAACTATGGCAACTATGGGGACTATGGCAGCTACGGTAACTACCAGAACTACAAGCGTGATGCCGATGCCTCCAGCACCTCGACCACCACCACCACCACCGCCGTCCCCGCCAGCTATGGCAACTACGGTGACTACGGCAACTATGGAAACTACCAGAACTACAAGCGTGAGGACGAGGAGTCCACCACCTCCGCTGCTGCTGCTGCTAGCACCACCACCGCCGCGCCCGCCAGCTACGGCGAGTACGGGAACTACGGCACCTACGGCAACTACGGCTCGTACAAGCGCGACGAGCAGCCCGAGGAGGAGAAGGAGGGAGCATCTACTTCCGAAGCTATCCCAACAACCACTGCCCCCGCCAGCTACGGCGACTATGGCAACTACGGCAACTACGGCAACTACCAGAACTACAAGCGCGACGAGAGCAGCTCCTCCAGCACTACGAGCGCCGCCGCTACTACCACCACCACCACGACTGCCCCGGCCAGCTACGGCGACTACGGCAACTACGGCACCTACGGGAACTATGGCTCGTACAAGCGCGACGAGCAGCCCGCCGCCAAGGCGGAGGAGGACGCCTCTTCCGCGACCTCGACCGCCCCGGCGAGCGCCACCACCGCCCCCGCCGGCTACGGGGACTACGGCAACTACGGCAACTACGGCAACTACGGCACTTACCAGAACTACTAAAGTCTGCCGCGTTCAAGGGAGGAATTACGAGTGGTTGCAGGGGGCGGGAGGGCACACAAATTGAATGATGGTGTAAAGTTGCTCTTCCGGGGTAGGACATGACCAGGGACTCACTCGGAACGATGACACGACACGACCCGTCCGGATGTACGCCGTTCTCAATGCACTGTGCCCATCCGGGAACAGGAGGTCGATCCTGGTAATGTGGATCGCAGATGCTCGGGTCTTTCTTTCTTTCTTTTTCTTCTGTATTTAGCTTAGATTTGCACGCATTGGATATTGAATTGAATGTTGATGAGACGGACCAGTTGTACTGTATGTACCTTTTCCAATGATTGGGTCATGGTTTTGTCACGTGACTGTGCGGGGCCCCACCACAATGCTGACTTCTGGTTGCTTTCAGAGCTCCATGGTGCATCAGCCTCATGATTCTATTTTTGGGAGGGTGTCAGCTCAGCTTGGCTCACGGGTGACTTGTTTAAGCTTGTCGTGTTGATCCACGTGGTGTGTTCGTCAGACGTGCGGTGAGAGCGCAGCGCATGCGTGGACCACAGGAATATATTTAGCATATAGATAGACGGATTGAACATCATGCATGAGTTATCCCACACCCCGACAATGAACCTAGGTGTTATACATTGTATGTGTGTAATCCTCTTATCCGATAATAAGTGTGCGGTGTGCGGTGACCGGTTTGAATAGAATAAAAAAGAAAAAGAAAAAAAAAACATTAAGGACGTGTGACCCAGAAATAAGAGGCGCCAGCAACAAGCTTTCCGTTCCGGGCTTCACCGCATGCGACAAGCTTAGCCTACTGTATACTTAATCTACACCGCAGAGAATGAGAGTCCGCCCTTTCTATACTCCCGACTAAATAGGAGTATATCCAGGATACAATTTTTTATAGTATTCTAGACATAAACTGGTCTCAAGTTAGAAAGGTATTAGATAATCCGGTTAGTTATACTATCTACTCTTTCGTACCTTACCTATTATAGGAACAATTTTTATGCGAAGAAACACCTAACCCTTTGGTAATATAGCGGAAACTATCTATACACATAATTAGTAGAGCTTCATTCTGATTAAAGTTAACTTTAGAAGCTGTCGCTCAAAAGTTTATAAGCCTATACCTTGAGGCGATCGCCCTGAGGTGATCTCTCCGATGGCGACTCAGATGATACCGACAGTCTACCCAGCCGTTGGCCCTATCGGTTGAGGACAAGGTAATATGTTCCAGTTCACAAAGCTTATCTCATTCGGAGTCTGGTGGGGGCTACCATTTACCTAGGCCCGGAAGCTATCCGAAGCTCTCCACTAATTGCCCTCTAGGCGCGGTGAGGCCGCGTCACGGCACTATAAGTCTAGCACAGATTGAAACATAGATGCATTACCATCCGGTACCTGGTATATATGATTGGCCTCACCAGGATATCGTAGCCTCTCACCCATCCAGACCGGTGTACTAGTGGCCCGGACCGAGCCCCCCGGTCATTAGTATCACCTAGTAGTTATCTCCTACGCTGGAGTTGGAAATTCGGAGTGTTTAGGCAGCCATTTCAGTAATTTATCAGTTGCTCTGTCAATATCGAACTTTTGACCTGGAATAAGAACCCGTTCTCCCCCCCCCCCGGTTGCCGCAGGCTGATTCCATCCTCTCCAGCTCCGCATCGTGACCTTTTACTTGCCACTATCATCTCGGCCCTATCGCCACACGCAATGTAAGAACGCAGCAGGCCATGATCCATTGTCTGGGTGTCGCTAACCGTGCAACTGGGTAGAACTTCCGAGTCGATATGGATCTGCTCCAGCTTGCTTGTATTTTCATCATCGACCTCTGCGCCCTATACCACCGCTACACCGACGGACACTGGTCCAAATCCGCGCTCTCCTGTGTGGCGTTCACGCATGTCGGGTTGTTGATCCATGTCATCCTGGAGACGCTGAAACAACATCTGAAATGATGGCCACCGCGGTTCATCGGCAATGGGTTGACGACGCAGGCAAGATGACAGCCGTCTGGAAGGTGGGGCAATGCCGACGACGCCTCGCAGTGGGCCGCGCGCCATCGCGACCCCCTGCTCTGTTAACCAACGGACGGCGCTGACCTCCCAGGAGGTCGTCCCCACGGCGAAGGTCGCAGCGAAAGGTCATCTCCACTGTGAACCGACGCCGGGCTCGAGGTCTCGGGGGACCTGGCGGGATCGTCGGGTCCAAATCCGACGCCATCACCTGCGCCTCGATCTGGGAGGCGGATGAGGTACTGGGGTGTGTATGCGTATCAGGCGACGATGACCGGGTCGAACTGTGATACCACGGCGGGGAAGAGGGCGATCTTGGCTGCCGGTGGAGAAGTGCGTGCATACCAGTGGAACTACGGTCGGATGCTGTGAGTTTAGGCATGGAGGCACACGGCACGGTCAACTGCGCTTGTGCATTCGGTGGGTTGTTGGGTTGGGTAGACTGTGGATGTGTAGTATGTGGCAGAATCTCGGCGGTTGGCGCCTTGTGCTCTCAAGCGGAACCGGATCATAATCATGATTACTGATTTTTGAACTTATTTACTGTTGGATCTCTACTACTTGGTATCTCATACCGAAGCAACATTACTTCTAACACATCGGGAATGAGAAGGAATGCATGTACGATAGCTCCTCGATAACTATCGCGGAGAGATTACAGTATCTGATCACTGGCGGCGTACCGAGTGCAGCACCGATGCTTCCACAGAAGGAATCATCCATCCAATGCCATATATGCGGCTTGAATCCGATTAGTACACCTGGCTGGATGATCCACTTTCTCTCGTTGGTGAGAACCGGTTGACCATAACTTCTCCACATTTAGCGTTGCGATCTCCTGCCGACTAAGTTCAGTCGCGAAACATGGACCCAGGGTTCAGTGGGCGGCAGTGGGCCTTATTCCTGATGGACAGGTTGCCCTCCTCTCCTCTTTTTCGGCAGGAGAGAAGTACGCCTTGGAGAATCTTGAATGTGAAATTCAAAGTCCGTACCGAGTACTGGGTCGGACCCGCAGTGGAAGCCTGATCGGCGACCGGTGGAGTCGATCCAGATTGTTACTTGCTGTAGCAGGCCTCCGTCACCACTTCAAAGGTTAAAAAGTAAGAGATGTTTGAAAATTATCTCGAGGTGTTCGAAATCTGTTAGGATGTATGGATATTTCCGAAATTCAGGACTAGTCATGTCAAAACAATTTACTAGAGTTTAAGCGAAAGCTGCTCTAGTGCTTGAACGTTACTTAAGAGGTTGTGGAGTATACACCAGACACAGTTGGAGTGGTTGATATATAGTTAGTGCGTGATTAGGAAATAGACTACGGCGTAGACTAAAAGCACAGAAGAAGTGTTGTTCGTATGTACATACTACCCTTTCGAAAACAGCGGTCCTGTAACGGACAAGCAGAGAAAACTCACTGCAACATTCTAGTAATTTGGATATGAACGAGAAAAGGCAAGTCAATCTTGATCCAACATGACAAATGACAGGCCCGATCTCGCCGAGCGACCCTAACTCCTCGTATTTGCCCGTCTCCACCCAATCACCAACGAGCTACACAGTATAGCTCAAATGGCCGCGAGAGCGGCATCGGAGTCCGCCGCGGGGAAAGCCGAGCGCCATCCAGGCTAGCCCTTCACTTATCCCCAGGAATCACAGCTGCAGAGACTGTGTGGGCAAGCTGCAGAGGGGAAAAGATGACTCGATCGGCATTGGTAGCTTGCCCATAGCGCAGCACCTCCTTTGGATCTGCACGGCATGGTTGGTTCATGCACATGGTTTGTCTCCACCGCCGGGGTCGGAGGGTCGGAGAGCAACACATTTTTGGGGCAAGGATGAGAGGGAGTCATCATCTTTCAGCTGGCCGCAGTGCGCCTGTGAGTCGATCGCCCATTTAAAGAAATTGGCGCCCGTCCGTGAGTTGCAATTATGATTGTTGGATTTCGTTTTTCTCTTCCTGCTGCTTTTTCCTTCCCTTTTTCCTGATTATCTCCCCTCCCCTCCCCTCCACCCTCCGTTGACCTCGGCAACAACCTGCATTCACCCCTTGCTGCGTGCGCGCATTAGACCATGGTCGTGGATGGTGAGCTCCCTTCCCCCCCACCCCCTTCTCAGCGCCCATCGCAACTTTACGATCGTCTTTCAGTCTCTTGCGATCGCAACCCACTGACCACTTTCTCCTCGTTTCCATGACGGCAGAAAAACCACCCGTGGACAACGGCGACCTGACGCCGGAGCCCTCGCAGTATGGCACCGTCAATGAGCGCAAGCTCATGGCCAAGATCGACTGGCATGTGGTGCCGTGCCTGTGTGTGATGTATCTGCTCGCATTTTTGGATCGGTAAGATCAATGCCTTTACAGCTGCAGGCCAATTCACCTGCCACCCCCTCCCTTCTCCACGCAAGCGCGTGCTCTGACATCCAGAATCGCGCAGGGTCAACATCAGTAACGCGGCGGTGCTGGGCCTCGAGAGCGATCTCCACATCACGACGGGCACGAAATACAACACCGCCCTGACGATCTTCTTCGTCCCGTACATCATCTTCGAGATTCCGTCCAATGTGCTGATGAAGAAGTTGAAGCCGCATACATGGCGTACGTGACCCCACTATTGCTGAAGATGGCACAGAAGAAAGTACTGATGTGTTTCGTCCGGGGGTAGTCTCGCTGTGTATGTTCGGATTCGGCCTGGTGATGGTCTGTCAGGGCTTCGTGCAGAATTGGGGCGGGCTGATGGCCACGCGGTGGTTTCTGGGCATGTTCGAGACGGGACTGTTCCCTGGGTGTGAGTATTCCTGTCATGCGACACGATTTGTTCGGCCCTGACTGATGCCCCGGACCGACGGCAACAGGCTTCTACCTCCTGGGGATGTGGTACAAGCGCAGCGAGGCGCAGAAGCGGTTCAGCTTCTTCTTCAGCTCGACGACGCTCGCCGGCGCCTTCGGCGGGCTGCTGGCCAGCGGCCTGGGCAAGATGGACGGGGTGCGCGGGCTGGCGGGCTGGCGGTGGGTGTTCATCATCGAGGGGATCCTGACGTGCGTGGTCGCGATGGGCTGCTTCTTCGTCGTGCCCGACTTCCCCGAGGACGTCCAGTGGCTCACCCCGGCGGAGCGCGAGTTCCTGCGCGACAAGCTGGCGCAGGACGCGGGCAAGTCGGCGGTCGACGTGAAGACGGGCTGGCGCGATATCCTGGCCGTGTTCAAGGATTGTATGTGCTCTCCGGATGCTTCACCCCCCCCTTTTTCCCTTCTGGTGGCGTGTGCGGGGTAATAACTGGACGAAACCACTGCAGACAAGATCTTCATCGGGGGCTGGATGTATTTCGGCCAGGTGGTCACGGCTTACGGTATGTCTGTCTTGCGCGGAAATGGGGACGCATGGACTAAATATGTGGTGGACTCCGCGCAGGATACGCGTACTTCGCGCCGACGATCATCAAGACCTTTGGCTACGGCGGTATGTCTCGCGCATCCTCTATCCAGCGGCATGCGCATGCGGCCTCCTGACACTAACCCTCCCACGTCACAGCCATCAAGACGCAATTCTACTCGATCCCCCCCTGGGCCGCCGCCTTCGGCTTCTCCATGTGCATCGCCTACCTGTCGGACCGGTTCCAGCACCGCTTCCTCTTCACGCTGCTGCCCATGCTGGTCGCCATGGCAGGGTTCGGCATCCTCATCAACATCCACAGCACGACGCAGCACCACATTCAGTACGGCGCGCTCTTCCTGGTGACGAGCGGCTGCTACAGCGCCATGCCCGTGCTGGTGTGCTGGTTCGCCATGAACCTGGGCGGCCACCGGCGCCGCAGCGTGGGCACCGCCTGGCAGATCGGGTTTGGGAACAGTGCGTGTGCCCTTGCCCGTCCTCCCTTCTCTCCCTTGCACCCTAACTCGATCCCCCAATGCTAATGGTTGGGTGTACAGTCGGCGGCATCATCTCCACCTACTCCTTCCTGTCCAAAGACGCCCCCTTCTACCGCAACGGCTACATCATCGGCGTCTCCTTCCTGGCCTTCTCCGCCGCCATGTCCTGCCTGTACTTCCTGGCCATCTGGCACGATAACCGCAAACGCGACCGGGCGATCGCCGACGGCACCGTCGATTTGGATGCGATCACCGAGGCGGAGGAGGAGTATCTGGGGGATATGGCGCCGCGGTATCGCTATGCTTACTAATCCGCCTCCGAGTCTCTCGGTTTTTTTTGGATGTGTTTTTTTTTTTTTCTGCGTTGCACAATAATAATACTTGGGTCGCGGGAGGATGCATGGGAACTGGCCGATGTCGGCGTGTATGATTCATGAATGAAAGATTAGAATTGGTGAGGGTAGCTGCTTTAACTGCTTTGGGGATAGAGGGCGGAGATTGCCGATGAGGAATGAAGGGTGTTGTTCACCGGGGGCGGGTCAGATTGGACCGAGGCGCGTGGCTTGTGCGGAGTTATGCGCTTATGCTGTGCAGCCCATATGCAGCTGACTCATTCCATATGCCATGCATGCATTGGGTCCTGGGAGGCTGACGGTGTCGCAGTGTACGGAGTAGGCTGGGTTGTTATGCAATAAATGCTAGATGACATGCTTCTCCGATAGTTCAGAGTAATCGTGCACGACAGCGGGTTCTGGTCTGACATGTTATTAGGTGGCCGGTATATTATCCAGTATGGCCCACTTGCAGACTGGGAAATCTGTTCAGCAGGTACAGGACCACCATCACGCACAAGCTGGCAGTGATTTCAGCCGGCATATATTCCACCGCTATGCCCACTCTCCGGGGCATCAGACTGTTTAGCCGCTGGGATTACCGGCAACCCCATTGCCAATCGCCATCCCGCAGCGCGATGGCGAATCCAGCTCTCCGGGAATCCCGGGAAATGTCATACAACTTCTGACCTCGCTTAAATCCCTGATGCATATGGCGGCATCCTTCTGCAGGCTGGCTTTGAACCTGCAGGTCCAAGTTTACAATCAATGTATGGAGAGGGGTAACGTCAACATCTACCAAAACCGTGTCAATTGAATCGCCAGATCCAAGGATCTATTACCAGCAACCACAGAGTGGCATCCAGGCACAGATCCCCGACAAGCCGAATCTTATCTTATCGATGGCGTGTATATGAGGGGGACAAGCAGCGCAACAGGTTCTGCACGCCCCGTCCCGAAGCCCTCATTGCGGGAGGAGATCGCGTAATCGCGGCTAGCGATGGTACAATGCACGAGCACGGCAAATCAGAACCCCAACAAGATGCAGCCGGTGGTATATCGTGCCGAAGCGAGGTGTTAGCCTCTGCGTGGTTGACGGTGAGCCATGAGGAAACAGTGTTCCTGAATGATGCCATTGCAGTGAATGTTGGCGGACGGGAAGGGGATCTCCATGCACTGGAGCATGGTCGCGGCCGTATACTCACAGATGAAAACAAATATAAACCCTTCGGCATCGCAGGCAGCCCAAGGTAATTCTTCTTGAGCAGCTTCACCTCCCACGCCAACACGCACCTTGTACAGTACATACCTCTGGCCACCATGGCCTCCCTCCTCCGCCACGTCCCCCTCCTCCTGGCCGCCGCGGCGTCCTCCGTCCTCGCCGATGGCCAGTACCGCTCGCGGCCGGACCTCTCCCCGCCCACGCTGAACGTCACCGTCGAAGCCCCGGACGCCAACGGCACCGAGTACGTGTTCGTCGCGCCGTACGGGGCCGCCCTCGCGCAGCCGGGCGCCTACATCTACCGCAAGAACGGCGATCTGGTCTGGTCCGGCATCGGCTACTACGCGGGCTTCGTGGGCAACTTCCACCGCACCACGTACAACGATCAGCCCGTGCTGCAGGCCTTCGAGGGGACCATCGATTCCACGCACGGCGAAGGCTGGGGGTACCAGGTCTTGTTGGATCAGAACTACCAGCCCGTCGCCACGGCCAAGGCGGCCAACCACCGCATCCCCTCCATCCACGAGTTCAACGTCATCGACGGGAAGACCGCGTTGGTGGAGGTGTACACGCCCACGCCCTGGAATCTGTCGGCGTACGGGGGGAATGCGTCGCAGCAGTGGATTGGGGACGGGTATTTCCAGGGTATGTGCCCCTGTGCAGTTGTTGCAATGGTGGGCGGACGGGTGGACTAACGAGGCGCAGAATTCGACATCGCAACCGGCGACCTGATCTTCGAATGGAACGCGCTCGACCACATCGACCCAGGTGGTACGTACCCTTACCTTTCTCCCATTCCCCCATCAACCCGCTTCCTTCGCAGCAACTGACTGGGGACCAAACAGAAAGCCTGGTCCCCCTCGCCTCCGCCGCCGCCGACAGCGGCCTCACCGCCGCCACCAGCTGGGACTTCATCCACATCAACAGCGTCGACAAAGACCGGGACGGAAACTACCTGGTCTCGTCGCGCCACCTCGCCACCATCTTCAAGGTCAACGGCACCGACGGCCGCATCCTGTGGCGCCTCAGCTCCGCCAACCCCTCCACGTTCACGCTCCCGTCCAGCTTCGAATTCGGCTTCCAGCACCACGCCCGCTGGCACTACCACTCCGCCACCAAAGAGATCATCTCCTTCTTCGACAACTCCAACGCCGGCACGGGGCTGGTGTTCAACAACGTCTCCCGCGCGGTGGTCGTCGAGCTCGACCTGCGCAACAAGACCGCCACCGTGCTGCGCGAGGCGCCCGCGCCCTACGGCATCTCGGCGGCCTCGCAGGGCGACGCCCAGTTCCTGGACGATGGACGCGTGTTCGTGAACTGGGGGTCCGCGGGCGCGATCACGGAGTTTGATGCGCAGGATGAGGTGGTGTACCATGCGTGGTTGGCCGACGAGGGGGTGAGTTATCGCGGGTTCGTGGGCAATTGGACCGGGACGCCGGTGGAGGAGCCGGCGATCGTGGCTTACCGCACTTCGGGGCCAGACGCGCTGCGGGTGTACGTGTCCTGGAATGGGGATACGGAGACGGTCGGGTGGCGGTTTTATGGGCTCAGTCAGACGGCAAATGCGACGGCACCGGTGTTTCTGGGGCAGGTGGAGAGGAGCTCGTTTGAGACGGTTTTGGTCTCGGATCGCGTCGGGGTGGTGGGCGAGACGGCGAGATTTTATGCGGTGGCGGTGGGGAAGGAGGGTGGTGTTTTGGGACGGACGAGGGCGGTGCGTGCGCAGGAGTGGGTGGCGTTGATTTGATGACTGTATGCATTGATGATTATGGATCTGTGGGTCGGAGACATGAGAAGTTATGTATCATGATGGAATGGAATGGGACTTCTGTGATTATAATGTCAAGCTAGGCTGCTGACTGCATGGACTGCTGTTTCTGTGTCTCGAAACGCCTTTGCATACATACTCAACCACCACTTTATCTGTCCGGTGGATCTGACCCATCATATACTCCTGACGGCCCACCTGCCCCGTTGGGAGGATGTTGTCCTCGCTCCCGTTCTTCAGAGTCCCGATGTTGGTCGTCAGCAGGTCATCGTGCGTGAGCATGTAGTTCATCGGCTTTCGGAACGGGCGGTTGTGCGACGTGGCGAGCTCGATCTCGTGGTTCTGGTAGTATCGCTGGTAGGAGCTCCACGAGCGTCGGCCACGGATCATCTCGTAGAGTGGGCCCAGGGTCGGGATGCACGAGGCCATGATAATCACGTTGGATTCGATGCTGAGGAAGGCAAGGATGGTTAGGAATGCTGTATATGAGTTGAGGCGTGGGGGTAAGGGTTACCTGGTCCAGATGACGAGGTCGGCGGTGGCATCTACGATAGGGTTAGAGGGGCGATAGCTCATGAATAGTATGCATACTGACACGCCGAGTCCGTGGTGTCATACAGTCCAGGGAGCTGGTTACACTTGACGATAGCCATTGCACACGCACTGCACGGATGAAGACCAACGTTAGCTTTTTTTACAAGAGAAGGAGACAACCCGACTCACATTGCGCCGAATCCCAGCGCCGCACATAGAGCCATCTTCTTTTTGAGCGTCATTTGCAGCGACGAGAGAACGACGGTGGGATGCACCGCCAGATAGAGGTCGACACAGGCTGAGACAACTAGACAGCAGTCAGGTTGGCGCACACTTACACTATAGGGAAAGGGTAAGGAAAGTACCTCCCGTGAAGATGGCATAGTCTACCAGCACGACTTGCGGTCGGCACGTCGCACCTTGGGCCAACAGCTGCGTCTTCCATAGAGCTTGCGGCGGATCGCACATGGTGAAGAGAACGATGATGCAGATACTCGATGTCACGAACACCATCCCCGTCAACACCCATAGGAAGACCTGGTGGAAGCGCCCGGGGTTCAAGATGCGGTTCAACAGCGCGGCGATGGCCACCTTGGGAGTGGGAAATGACATGATGCCCAGCGCGAAGTTGAGGTAGTTGAGTAACAGCACCTGCTCGAGTCGATCCATGCCTCCTTGCTCGACGATGACGGTTGTGTGCTTGCCGTATCCCAGGGCCACGACGGCGGTAGTTAGGGTTGTATAGCCCGCGAGGATGAGCTGTTGCGATCAGCCCAACTGGGATCTGGTCCGCAGACCCGGCGTTATAGACTGGAGGAATACCACTCACTATGGCAACTGCAATAATATAGTCGTCCAGTCCAACGTTCTTCAGCATCCGGGAACGAATGTACAGCCGGGCGGACACTGTGACCGCGCTCACGGAGAAAAAGGCCCAGAACAGCCCGAGGATCTTGGGTCCCTTGGTCTGGCTGGCATACTCGACACTCATGGCTCTTAGGATATCAACGTCACGCTGAGCATGCAATTGGATTTCACCTCACGTTCCTATACGAATTGAATCTCTTGTGCGAGAGGAAACGTGTGCGGGTGTAGGTGGAAAAGGAGGGACGGGGGTGATGGAGGAAAGACCGCCCTGTCCTGCTGGTCTCCGAACTAACTTTGATATCCCTGCTAGGTTGAGGTCTATAGAGCAGATTATGTTTGCTTTGATAGTTCGAGTGGATTGATTGCAATCGTACGTTCGGATTGCTCATTTGGCGATCAGTGGTCGCCTCGTCTGGCTAACCCCAACAATAGCCCCGTCAGCGACAAGCCAAGGCCGGCCTTCCGGCTAGCCTCCTGTCTCGATATTAAAGACCGTTGCCGTTGAGCCGAGCCCCATGGGCTGCACGGCAGGACTTAATCTCAGATCCTAGTCTAGTCTCCCCCCGATCCAGCCGATGCACTCTTAGAGCCACACTATGTCCAGTCCGTTGTGAACTAAGAATTTGACCCTTACTAGTGACAGGACTGTCTGACTGGCATGTGATGTCCAGCGTGTAGGCAGAGAGATTGTTGAACCCAATTGAGCCGTCCGCATGCTTCCCCACCTGTCATATCGATGTGGTCGGGGCTAGTTCAGGGGAAGTGTGTGTCAACCAGAGCCCTACCCCGGCATTGCTTTGCTTATATGCCTGTGCCTGTCTGCGTGTGCTTGACTCTGCTTTGTCCCTTGATCACTTCTTCTACCAAGCCCCATTTGCATCAGTAAACATCTCAGCGTCCACCATGCCGCACAAGAACGGCACGCTCAACAAGCAGACCGCCGATGTGGCACAACTTGCCATCTCTCCCAACCTGCCTGCACCCATCCCCTGGCTCCTGGACCAGATTCATGCCCAAGGCAAAGAATACCTCGACGTGAACCCCCAAACACGACTGGACCTGCTCGAGAGCGCCCGATCCCTCGTGTACGCGCTCGAAACTCCCCGTGAGGCTATCCTCCGACACTGCTGGTCCGAGGTACGCACCACTACTGACTTACAGCACACGATACTCGAAAGTATTGACAGTGTCCTAGACAACCAGCTACGCCGCCATCGAGACCGGGATCAACGTTGGCATCTTCACAGCTCTCGGCACCGACGACAGCCCCAAGACCGTCGCCCAGCTGGCCAAAACCACGAATGTCGACCCTGTGCTCCTCGGTTCGTGATCCTATCACCCCCGTCCCCGACACACACCAGCGTCCCCTCATAGTCTGTACCCCAGGTCGTATGATGAAACACCTCGCCGCAATGGGCGTCCTCCTCGAAACCGGCAAGGGCACCTACCAAGCCACGGGGTTCTCCAAGACCCTAACCGAGGAGAAATACAGCGACGCCTTTCCGCTCATGTACGCCGTGCCCCAGCCCCAGCCCTTGGCCCCGCCCCGAAGAACAAATTCCACTCCATCCCAACTCCCCCCAGCTAAAGCCCCCCAGGACCACCCGCTTCACCCAAGGCTTCCTCGCCCTCCCCACCTTCCTCGCCCAAACCAACCACACCAACCCCACCAACCCGAAACACACAGCCTTCCACCTCGGCCACAACACGACCCACAGCTTCTTCGAGCACGTCCAGCGCGAACCCGACACCGCCCGCCGCTTCAACAACCACATGGGCGTGTACGCGCAGGGCCGGCCGCGCTGGATGGACCCGGGGTTCTATCCGGTACAACAACAACTCGTCGACGGGGCTGTGCCTGCCATCGACGACGAGGGCGTGTTGCTGGTCGACGTCGGCGGGAGCTTCGGACATGACCTGCTCGCGTTCCGCCGGAAGTGGCCTGATCTGCCGGGCCGGCTGGTGCTCCAGGATCTGCCCGAGGTGGTGGCCTGTGTTCCTGCGGAGGTGGCTGAGTTGGGGGTGGAGGTGTTGGGGTATGATTTCTTTACGCCGCAGACTGTTGTTGGTATGTTGGTTTCTCTCGTTTTCTCTGGATAGAGGGTGGGAGATGAAGGGCTGAGGGAGAGATTCCTGGGTATTGATATGTGTTATACTAAACTGCGGTGTCGGATAGGCGCCCGCGCATACTACCTGCACTCGATCCTGCACGACTGGCCGGACGACCTGTGCCGGATGATTCTGGCAAACCTGAAAGCGGCGATGACGCCGGGGTACAGTAAGCTGCTGATCAATGAGAATGTGATCCCGGATACCGGGGCGTATTGGGAGACGACGAGTTTGGATTTCATCATGATGAGTATTGGGTCCGGGGAGCGGACGGAGAGCCAGTGGCGGGCGTTGTTGGAGGGGGCCGGGCTGAGGGTTGTCAGGATCTGGGCGGCGCAGCGCGGGGTGGAGAGTTTGATTGGGTGTGAGTTGGTTTGATTGTTATCGGGAGAATGGGGTCAGTGGGGGGAGAGTTGATGGAGATTAGGCTAGGATGGCGTTAGGGCTAGTGGATACGGTGCATGTGCTTATGTACTATGCTTCTCATTCGGGGAACGAGCTGTGGAGGCAGTATATGATATCCAGGTGTGCCGATCATCGTCTTATTACCGTTTCAAATACTTGATCATGGCTTACAGAATCTCAGATTGAATGGTTCAGAATCCGCCTGAACGCTACACCCCATCCTGCGCGCGTCTCTGCTCCCGCCGCCAGAACCGCTGCAACACCACGAGCATCAACAGCATGCACACATCCAACGCAATCGTCCAGTTGTACCCGATCAGATACCGCGGCGCATCCACCGTCTTCCACACCCTATCCCAGCATTAGCAAACCATTACCCCTCCAAGATCTGCTCCGAGGAAACTCACAGCAACGGAATCCACGCCCCAAAGGTATTCCCCACCGTATTCATGGCACTGATCACCAACGCGCGCTCCTCGGCACTGCGCGCGCAGATCTCATTCGCCCACGCGTAGATGATGGCCGCGATCCCATCCGCCGTGCCGGACAGAAAGAACGCAAAGAACTTGAGCCCCACCGGCACGCGCCAGACCGCCAGCACCACGCACGCGAAGATGTTCAGCGCCGCCGTCGTGGCGATCAGCGCCGCCTTCACGTCGTAGATGTCCGACAGCACGCCGCACAGGACCGACGAGACGATCGTGACCGCCGGCGAGACCGTCGTGATCGTGTTGATGGCCTCCACCGAGTAGCCCTCGGCTTTCAGCCACAGGGACAGCCCGCTGTTCGACGAGACGCCGTCCGCTTGCGAGAAGAAGAACGCGAACCCCACCAGCACCCAGAGGCGCCAGCCCTTGAGGATGGTGAGGATGCGCGGCAGGGTGAAGGGTTGGCGCGGTTGGCGGTGTTCGGCGGCCATGCGCGCTTGGGCTAGGTGGATTTCTTCGGGGGTTAGGAAGCGCGATCTGCATTTTTCGGGCGTGCTGGGCAGGAGGCACAGGCCTAGGAAGGCGATGGGGATCGTGCATGCGAAGCCTGAGGTGGTTAGGATTGGAGCTGGTGGATCTAATGGGGCAGGGGTGGGGCCTACAGATGATGTACAGCCAGCGCCAGCCCTCGATGCCGTACCGCCCGTTGAGGCGGGCGTAGGCGCCGGCTTGGATGTACCCCGAGCTCATGCTGCCCACCTGACTGGCGATGAAGAAGATGGCGCCGCGGCGCGCCAGTTCGGAGCGCTTGTACCAGCAGCCCAGGTACCACTGGACGGCGGGGAAGAAGAAGCCGCCCAGGGCGCCGACGAAGAAGCGGAGGGCGTACAGTTGCGTCACGCTGGTCGCTTTGTATTGTGCCAAGGTGAAGACGCCCCAGAGGAGGTCGGCAGCCGGCAGGAAGTAGTTCACCGGGAAGCGCGTCATCTACCGATGTCGTTAGAGAGTTAGCTCCCTTGATGCTAGACAACGTAGATTTGAGTCGAACGTACGGCCAGCGTCAGAGGAATCTGCATCGTGATAAATCCGACCCTAGACCCTGTTAGGAGGCTGGTACGTGCGGTATCGGCGCAGCACGTACATGTATACGGTATTCAAGTAATTGAGCTGATTGCCGTACATCTTCAGATCCTCTCTCATACCACTGACGTAGGCGGTGCTCGTGGCTGACGAATCAAGCACCTTCGCCCAGTAGGCCAGAAAGACGAAGACGATGATGAGGCCGTCCAGCTTGAGGATGAGACGGCGCTCGGCCGGGGTGTCGGTGGGCGCAAACCATTGGTACCATTTCTGACGCTGCTGGACTTGGATCGGGGGTGGGACCTGTGCCTCTTTGCTGTCGGGTAAATCGTGAATTCCGGCCTCCGTAGCCCGAGGCGCCTTCTCGATCGAGGCGTCCATGTTAGGGCTTGTGATGGGAAGCGTCAAGTTTCAGATTTCGGGGATAGAACTTGGTGTCTAGAGATTACCTCCGATTTCTGCAGAGTAGCGTGTAGATATATGTTCAACGTTGGAGCACGCCACTTTTAGCGCAAATGGCGAGGAGTGGCAGGGACTCCCCCCACCGTTGAAAAGGTGATAGAGTTGCGTGCCTCGTGGGCTGGAGGGCTTGGCGACGCTATACTAGCCGTCCCGAAATCGGGTGATTCGGTCCCGTAGCCGAGCCAGACGAGCTCGGCTATTTCTCAGGAATTCGGTGCCAATGCAAACTTGACATCAGACTCAAGGTCTGAACAGTTGTGTGACATGAACTATGCGGAAACAACATGGATGGAATTAAGTCATATGATCACGGCTCAAGTCTCGATCTGCTTTTGTTAAAAAGGGCGCGAATGAAGGCGCGGATGCACGTGTATTCTCAATACGTGTGTGTGGCTGTTATATCTGGCAAGAGATGTGTGATGTTTGACGTCTGTTCTTAGGACATTGTAATCGGGCTTTGGAGATCGACAGCCTGTTAAGCAAGGTGGATATTGGTTAGGACAACAGGAAGCAAACCCCCGTCACACGCACAGGGATAGAGAGAGGAAATGAGCCGTACCAACGCGGTTATAGTATATCAGGTTCCACAATCGAGGCTTGTAACTACTCCCAAGAAGAATACCAGTGCTTAGCATGTCCAGGTCTAGAGACAATATACTTGCCTGACGACACTTCTTTGGGCAAATGTTATGAAGAAATAAAGATATAGGTACCAAATATGGCTTTCGATTATCCTCTTTCATCCAGTCGACAGTACAAATCTATCAGCCCTGTAGAGAACCTTGCCCTAGCACTATGATTCTTTCTACAGCCACCAATTCACTCTGCTTGACTTGATATAACCAAATCTTTCAATATCCTTCCTTGACCGCTAATAATGGAATAAAGAAACTAAGCAGCAGCAGAAATAGAAGAAGAAGAAGAAGGAGAAAAAGAAGAAGAAGAAGAAGAAGAAGAAGAAGAAGAAGAAGAAGAAGAA